CATCAGAACCAAAAGGCAAAAACATTTATTAAATAAACAAACAAACATTTTGAATATAAAGATAATCGCACTGAGTCTATATGAAGAAAAAATACATGTACCATGACAAAGTCTGGTTATTAAACTTATTAAGTCCTACTAATCCCATATGTATTGAAAAAAGCAAAAATGAATACCAAAAAAAAGCTCAGGAGGTTAAGAAACATCATTGTGAAGCTACTACTTTTTGAAATGTTCAAGCCGCTTTCTTGAGTGAGACCAGTGTGTCTGAGAGGTGATGAAGGCACACAGGGGGCAGAGGGTGAAGAGGTTGTACTCCAGAAAGAGCAGCCAGCCTTTCAGAAAGGGGACACAGAGTGAATTGCTTCACAATCAAGTGGTTTTTCTGTTCAACATCAAAAATACTCTATTTACTAAAGTGGTTTCTTCATTGGAGATTAACAGAATTTATTGTTTTTTATAACTGTTTTTCTTCTTTTGCTCCTCAGATTTTTCTATATTTTCCATGACTTTGTTTTGGTGTTAAATTAATATAATGTGTGTCCAAAAAAGCTATTATGTGCATTTCAGATAGGGATAAATACATGTGAATTATATATCAAGCCATTAAAAAAATACAGAGATTCAAGTCTTGTTATCATAGTTTCAATTAAGTTTAAGATATCCAAAAGTTTAGAAAATCCCATAAAGTCAATTTTAAATCAATTTGTCAAACAACAAATGCGGATTTATATTGACAGTTTTCTATGGCTTGTTAAAAACAAAAATAACACCGTTAATTTTAAGTCCAACCACGAAATTGGTACACCAACATAAAGTATCATATGTAACGTCTATGGGGAACCATATTAACAGATTTATTGACATATGTACCCATACGTTTTTGTTTACGCTAAACTAATTATAACTCAAGACTGGACCGCAGTTTAGACCTCAAGGCAAGAAGAACCAATCAAAATCACTTGTAGAAATTAAACTAATTGGTTAACAGTTCTATTGCCAATATATTCTCCTTTGTATCTTCGTGAGCGGAGTCTCTTTGCAAACCTTTTTCGCTGGAGGCAGAGGGTTAAAAGAAAAAAAGGAGTGAAAAGTTTTGGGACGCTGGAGGTGTCTTGGCCGCAGCAGCTGAACGCAGCCATTTCCTGCCACATAGTGCGCCCGTCTAATCGTGACTGCAGCAGCTACTTCCTGCATTGTTACGGTGCTTAATGGGGATTAAGTTGAAGCTGTCATGTTGTTACCGGCGGCCATTAAGCCTGCTCCGCGCGGAGGGGAATGGGTAGGCTGAAGGCTCCATGACTTCACCTCAGTTTTTACTTCTTCAGATCAGATCTGCCAAATACAAGTCATGTATATTACATATAGATATACATACATTCATACGACATACATCTGGCACAGTGTATTAGCCAAAGCTACCCCCCCCAACCTTTATGCCACATCTGTTCAAATATTAGGTCAAATGATTAGCAATCAAACGTCTCACATCTGTACCTTTCTGTACTGTCTCTTCACCATAATGGTTATAAACCATTTATTACAATGTGGTTTAACAATATTTTTTGATGATACAAAAAATGTCTTAATGTTTTGTAAACTGACAAAATACCGCAAAGCTTTACCCCAGAAACCATCTAAAATAAACCATCTAAAATAACCCCGACCTCTATCAGAGATCACATTTTTACATAAGCCTGACATACTGGACTGTAAAGGTTTTTTCCCATTGTGTAATTACTTGTCGGTTCCTTGTCATATCCCTCACACACAGAAAGATCTTTGACAGGAAAATGGGCTTTTAAGTTTTACTTTTATTGTGTCCTCAGCTACGTTTCTGCGATCAAAACGGCTGTTTTACTGTTGTATAGAAAATAGTTGAAAGGTTTTTGTTAAAAATAGTGACTTTTTACTGTTAGTGAACTAACAGGAACAGTCTTCCTGAAGACATGAGACAGGCCCCAACTCTGACAGTGTTTAAATCCAGGCTGAAAAGGCTTCTTTTTAACTGTGCATATGGAAATTGAATGTATTTCACTTTTTATCTAGCTAGTTTATTTTGTTGATTCTTTTTCTTTTTTGTTTTTATGCTTTTCAATCCTTTGTGAAGCACTTTGAATTGTCTTATATACACGAAATGTGCTGTACAAATAAACTTGCCTTGCCCTTTATAATCTTCACATACAGCTGAGCTGTTGGTCCATCATTGGGCCTGGGCTTAAATACAAGTAGTTTGATTCTGACATCCGTGATCCTCAAAGGATTAAATCCAAAGAAATTCTCTCAATCAAGCAAACACATCAGTTAAATGAGTCACTTGCCTGTCAACAAAAGGCATTGGTTAAAACAGTGTTGTTCGTTTATTTCTGTCATACCTGAACCTTCAATTTAAAACATTTTTGGTTCTTAGGTCTTTTGGAAAAACCCTTTGTTCTATTTCAATATGGATTATCCCAAAGTGTCAGAATATGATCAAGAACCAGTTACATAACATTTACATTCTTCTGGATCCACAGGAGCATACTCAGAAGCAGATTGATTATTACTAGAGAGTTTCCTTAATTTCAAGTTGATGTTACCTTTATATGTGGTGATCATGACATTTGATTTCTTTTATGTGACACAGTCAGTAGCCTCAGGAGATGGAGTGGTGGGACGAGAGGATGGAAACAATCAGACCTGATGACTCAGCATCATCTAGAGAGAGCTCTTTTTTTGTCATTTAAAGAACGACAGGGTGAGGCTGACAAAGCACTTCACCCCCCCCCCCCTCCCCCCAACCCCCCCACTCCACTCCATCCCCACCCCACCCACCCAGCTGTTTGAGAATAATATCCATACTTCAGGCTTTAGGGACTCTTACGTAGATCACAGTATTTCAAACACTTATGTGTACGTGTGTGTTGATATTTGTGTGTGTGTGCGTTTATATTCATGTTTGTTGAGGAGTGAGGATTAGTTCAGTTCACAGGGTTTGATGCTTTATACGAACACAGGTCTTGCCATAAAAGAGGACGCCAGCTGGAGCCTTTACAGATGCTCCAGCTGCTGAAAATGTTCAGGGCTTCCATGCTTGGATTTGTGGGGCTGCCCGATAAGTCATTAAGGAAAAGCCTTCTCCAATCTTCCAATTGAAAACAGACATCAATATACAGTATACCGAGATGTTGTAGTTTGTGGACCCTACTTGCAGTTGCACCTTGGCTGTTAGAGGATATAACTGGGAATGGTTCTTCCATGAGAACACGAACCGTATCATGATGCTGAAGCAGCTGTAGGAACAAATGTACAGCTGGCATCACAGCATGACATGAGTACAATTTGTGTATTTGTAATGGCGTGAATAATCTAGTCACAGGTAAATGGAGTGTTACACACATATAAGACACCTAATAATACACAACAACATGTAAGCACTGCATGTCATTAATAACAATTCAGATTTAATACTACTAGAAACAGTTACGGCATTATGGACTAATGCAGCACCGACACTGGCTGGTTAGACCTTAGCGGTGCAAATTCCTTAACATATCAGCAGCTAATCAAGGGGCCAAAATAGTGGACATTGGACCCCAGTATAAACCTGTCAGGGTCTTGACAGGGTATGGGTTAACTGGATTTCCTGCATGCATGCCAGCTGTTATACAAAGGGATCTTCTTGAGACGACTATGCGCTGATTTGCCAGTGAAGTAAATAAGTTTTGCCATGACGCTGCTGAGAATGTGAGGTGTTTCACTTATTTGTCAGTCCCCACTGTAAAATACAGGGTGTGTGTTCCTCAGAGTGGGAATGTGTATTGGAAGGTGTCTGTAATCTTGGTGGTGCAAGCATGGGTGACCTGGAGAGGGTGTGTATGTGTGTGTGTGTTGGGGGGGCAGGGGGGGGGGTCATTTTGTCACCCTGCTTTGGCCCTTGGTGGTCAGTGGCTTGTATGATGTGATCCGGTCGTCCTGGTATGCCGAGGTGCGCATGCCCACTAAGAGGACGCAGCGGCTCCATGTGTGTTGAGGCGCATTATTTGGCAACAGACGCGGCAGTGGGGAGGGCCGAAAAAAAGAGGATATCCCCTGGATTTCAAAAAAGCCACGATTTATCGAGGTTAACTGCAGATTAAACATTCCTTGTTTGACCATCGCCGAAGAACAGACGACAAAGCTACAAAGTAAGTTGACTTACGCGAAGCTTAAGTTTTTTAGTGAGTGGATTGAGGGGAGCCTTTTTATTCGGACTCGACGAGAGGAGCCAGGTTTTCCTCCACCTATCTGTGACGATAAAGAAGCTGATGGGCTGTTGAAAAGTAACACTTCTCCGCAGAGCCAAAGGTTGAGCACTGGGCAGGAAAGGGGGGGGCTATCTCAGCCAAAAAATATTTTTATTTTACCTTCCCTTCGGCTTGGCGGTTGGTAAATATGACAGCTGGACCTGATTTTGTGCTTTAGAAGTCCCTAAATGAGGTGAGGATTCCTACGTTACATCGCCGGCGGCTCGTCGGCGGCAAGCTCGGTCCGTGGGCCGGTCGATGAAATTTATGAGTTCCGAGTCGAAGGGTTTTTCCTCTGGAGTGGACATACAGGTAAACATTCCCAGTGAGCCCCCCACGGCCATACTTTTACGACAGTATTGTGAAAGTTTTTTTTTTCGCCCCCCTTCTTGTGAGCTGCCCCGCATTGGGGTACAGGCAGGTCAGCGATTCGGATTCGGTTCTGGTTTTGTGCGGGTCAGGTTTGTCGAGCAGCTGTCGGGCTGGAGGACTTTCAGTTAGTTTGAGTTGAAGCGACCGACAGCCGACGGGGTTTTTTTTGTGTTCATGAATCGCTTTTGTCGGAGCTAATGAGGCTTCGTGTTTTTGTTTGTGCCATGTAGCTAATGTTAGCTCGCTAACTAATAACACGCACACCTCCTTCGAGGCGGTGTCAGTATTAAAAAAAAAAAAGCCGGCTAGTTGCACATGTATTGTGGGCAGGGTTTAGTTTTTAAAGGGCTGAGTTTGGTTCGGATGGAGTACGGGCTGGTGAACGGTTAACGGTGCTCGGGAATGCCCGCTTTTAAGCCCCGTGGCACCAGTGTTGGTTCTGCTATCTGGTAGCTAATCTTCCTACTTCTCTCTGTGACAACCGTAGTCTTCCTCCTCTTAAAGCTGAACACACACACACTCGCACACACCAGTGACACACACCGCACACACTCGCACTCTGCTTCTTCCTCTCGGCACACACACTCTCCTCGACACCAGTTTGCAGTGCTTTAGCAGAGCAGTGAAACATGGAAAACTGTTCGTTGCCTGTTTGGCTGGACAGGCGGATGGCTCTGAAGTCTTTTCCAATGTTATATGACTGCTTATAAGCCGGTGTCCCTCGTGGCACGTTCTCTAAACCACACACTGGGTCTAAGACTCTGGTTACAGCTGTTAACTTATTTGTCATCATTCAAATCGTAGTTGTTTGAATTTCTAAAATGAACCGCATAATTTTTCAGAACTGTTTACACTTTTATCCCACTTTATCCACAATTAGCTCGCTATTAAAGAAAGATAACAAGCCATTATATTATAACATGGACAAGTGATTTTAGGGATTTCTTTAGGGAGGACAGTTAGACCTGCTGAATATTTGTCATCAACGAAATACACCGACGGTTTGTCGTGATAACAGCAGGGGGGAGTTCATTAAAACTGTAAGTCTGTTCAAATCTATCAAACATTATGATGAGTGATGTTGTGAGATCATAAAAAACTGCAGACAGTTGTACGCATGTATGTTTAATCATGTCATCAGTTATTACTGAATAGTTAGTACTACAGGAAGACTTCTGCTAAACATAGCTAATGCAATATGTAGTGAGGATGGAAAGATGAGTGATTTTATTGCTTCTCTGTGGTGATCTGGAATGAACCCCTTAGTTGTTTTTGTGAACAAAGGCTTGTAAAATGTTGTTTACACGTTTGCCAGTTGCCTCTAGTAAAGTTGCTGTCAGAAAAGAGAATGGGGTTTCATTTTGACTTTGGGACCACTGACTACTTGGCCTAAATAACAGTGTAGGGAGTTGGGTCCACGCTTAAGCGGTACCGTCCATTGTTCTCAAAACTTTAGATTTATAACACTGAGTCAGGAATCTGTTTTTTTAGCTTTTAGCCTTGCGCAGAAAGGACTGTTCCAGAGATCACAAACAAGACTTGTCCAAAGCAATTGTGTAACCACCCGTGGATCTGCACAGGGTCATCTGCTGGTCATATTTTAGGCTGCTGTGTAGAACCTCTGGGGTCAAATACCATTGTCTTCTTCTAATAAACAGTGAGCAGGGTTTTCTGATGCTATTTTTCAGCTTGTGTAGGAGGTTATGTTTGCTATTGAACAAAAGTCCGATCAGTTTATGTAGAGTTAGCCAAGTGAGGAATATTGTTGATCTAAAGCGAGCCATGTTTAGCTATAACTTGTTCGGCCACTTTTTCAAGCGTTAAAAACACACAGAAAGCTGGCCATTGGGGCTCTGTTTTAAGTCCGTGCTTGAAGATTTATCTTTACTCTATTATTCTGACAGAATCAGCCAATGACCGCACTGCACAACTACTGTAAGAGCATGCACATGTTGCAGGAAGTTTAGATGAAGTCTGTCGTCATGTATGTTTCATGACTGTCTGGTGTTTGACGGGATCTAAAAGAAGCCAGATGAATAATCACTTCCAAGCAGAAAGAATGCATGAGCAGTACCCTGATAGTGGTTGCAGCCTGATACTGGATTAAAAGAGGTGCATTCTGCCCTGGTGAGAGCCACACCTGCACAGTGATATGTCATCATGTGTTGTGGCTAACTGTTACTGTTACTTACTGATTAATCTGGCCCATTTCCCACTCCCACAAACAAGCCTTGTGGTCATTATGGAGTTGTGCCTTCAACACACAAGTTGTACTTTGTAAATGAAATATGTCTTTACAGTGTGATATCAAGACTGTATAATGAAACTTTACTTATTAACTTGTTCATATATAGTACCGGACAATTGTGTCTAAAGGTCAGGTATATGACTGCAAAACAGACCGGCTGTTCTGCCTGAATCATGGAGAAACATATGTTTCACATGTACCCGCATTCAAAATGCCCAACGTTAAATGATGAATTTCCAGCTGTGGAAAGATTAACCACACAAGTCACTGCTCTGAGCTAGACAAATGACACTGGTGCCCATGAGCAGCCAGCTGCTTTAACTGTAGCTGGGCTGGATGCAATGTGAACCTGGGGAAACTTCAGTTTTGCATTTGATTTCATTGAGCCAAAAAAAGAAAGAGTCCTTTGATTTAGAGATTTGTCACAGCTGTATTTTTGGGTAGATGTGAAGATTCCAGTGATTTATTCTTAACTTTTTGAGCGATCTGAGATAGGGATAGGATTGCGGTTGTCAGCTATAGTTAAGAAGATTAAAATGGCCAAAAATTCTCGTCCCAGTCACTTTGGTCTCTCGACTCGAACGTTTTATTTTTTGTCTGACTGTGTTAGCACTCCACTGACCTCCTGACTGCCACCCAGCAGAATTCAACCCTAGACAGCATCACTGTTGGTTATACTTTTTTTAGTATGTCACAATTGATATAAATATTCATTCTAGATTTAAAACAGCATGAAGTCCTCAACGGCACAAAGAGCATGGGGCTTTTCTGTCATGGTGCCGTGTTTAGACCTGTTGCATGCACATCCGGCTCTCCTGTACAAAGGAATTGTGTGTTTTATGAGCAAATGCAGTGGTCACGAAGAACAAGTAACCCAGGTAATGTAATTCAGTTTTATGTTGATCATATTTTTATCAAAGATACCTGAAGTGACAAACGAGCAGACTAAAAGCCTGTCTCTGTCACTCCACCGTGGAATAGCCAAGCCTTTTCGAGTGTTTAAAGATTTCCATCATGTTTGAATATTTATCAAGGTAATGTTGAATGCGAGACAATACAGATAATAGCAACCCTTTCATAATCATAATCACACATGCCTGCTGATTAAAGACGGCTCAATTCTGAGATGCTCCATGCTGCTGTCAGTGAATAGGCAGTTAACTTTGTCAGTAGTATGAATTTGTGATTAGGGTTTTGCTTTAAGGGGCTTTGCGGTGGCCATATTTGTTGTAAGGGTCTGGATCTTATTCATTCTGCTAGTGCGTGAGGTTGATGGAATTCCGTGTAAACTGCCATGAAGATGAAACGTGAACTCCGGCAGCCATTTACGTCCCCTCTTACAAAGATATGGTCAGTGTCTGTGTAAGGTCAGGGTGAGGTGGGGTTGGGGGGTGGGGGGGTGTAGGGGGGGTTGTCAGATGGCGTTCCTCGTGCCCAGCTTCTTCCAGCATCATTTCAAAGCCGTGTGCCCCAGAATTGATAATGATCATGCCACCACCCAACCCCCACCCCAGCGCGTGCACACAAACTGTATAATGGCTGTCACTGTGGAAGCCTTGCGCCACTCCAGCACCTGAAGGGTTAAAACCAGCCTCAGTCTCTCTCTGTCTCACACACACACACGCACACACACACAGACACACGTACACACTAGCCAACCGGTTTAAACCGGTTCTCAGGAAAAGTGCTTTGTGTGTCCCATTGAATCCTGGGAAGGGTCATGTCATGTGTGTTCTCTCAATGATGTCAGAGTTTTAAAAAAAAGAAGAAGAAGAAGAAAACTTGGGGCAGCTCTCAGTTATCAGATGGTTGCTCTGCAAGCCTCATTGGGGCTCGGTGTGCATATTGTAAAGGTATGCCGTGAATACACGTAGTGTACTTGATGCTCGCCATCATGGCTACTTTTAGAACAGGAAGGGGAGGAGTCAGTAGTCCGTTCAGCATGTGTCACTCAGAAGTAGCCCAGGTTGTGATAGGTAATTGTAGACCTTTTAAAAAAAAAAAAAAAAAACTTTAAGTCATTCTGAATTGTGTCAGTTGACAGACCTCATCACACTCGGGCAACTGGTTCCTTATGCTTTACCAGTAAATGCCCTGAGCTTTTGTTTTTCTTACGGTGGTCATCTAGTTTTCTGAGGGATGTCTTTGAGCACTGCTTGTGCCATCTGTTTAACATTCTCTGAACTTTGAGCACAAGTTGTCCCTGTCGTTGAAGCATGCAATGTGGGTCAATATATGTTTACCTTTTTCACAAGTGATAGTGACTAAAGTCAATTCAGACTACCCACATACTCACAGAAGGGTTGTGATGTTGACAACTTCAGGATGTACAGTTTATATTGACAAAAGCAAGTTAAGAGTTGACTCCACACAAATCCCAACAGTATCAAGGCTTATTTCTCTTCTGACAGTTAACTCAGGTTTAGGCCAAACATGGTTTGTTTTCCATCTGCCTGCTGCATTTACCAGTTTGAATTATTATAGCTTCTCCTCCCAATTCGCAGGTATCACAGAGAGTGATCAGGAACCTGAATACAATGCTGTTTTTATTCAGGTTCCTGTTTATGTGTTTGGTAAGAGTTGACTCTTTCTAACACACTCAGGTAGTAAGGTAGTATTCACTGTTGGGCTGATGCAACACAAAGGAACTTTTGGAGCATGTGCCGAGTGCCTAGGTCATTAAGTTTAGTTAATACATGCAGGACCTGTTCAGACTTTTGCATTTTAAAATTCCGGTTTTCAGCCAGTCAAATTGTGTTTTTTGTGACGTGTTACTGTGCTTGGGGTTAGACAGGCAAACCGTTTGTAAGATGTTTTTCTGAGCCTGCAAGAAAACCAAAGCCCATCAGTCCTTAAAATGCTTTTTTGGGTAATACTTAAGTGTAACAGCTATTGATAAAAGAAGGGAAATAGTCGAGCTATTGTAAGAAGTTCTGATCCTGTGTACTGTTTTTGATTCTGACTGAATATAGAAAAGACTAATTATCAACTTTCAGCACATTAAAACCTATTTTGAGCATTCCTTACTTCCCTTTGAAGTGCACAGCATGTTATTTGGGGGAGGTTCGAAAAGGTTGCCTGTCTTTGTCCTTTTGATGGTAAGCCTGACACACAACTTTATGAATAGGAGTACTGAGACTCTACTCAGCCACTTCCTCCAAAAGATAGGGGCTCTGTTAAACTCGTCTATAACAGTTAAAACGGAAAGTGGATTCGAGATGAGCGGAGAATAAAGCAAAAGGTTGGGGACTAAATCTGCCGGCCTGCATTGACTGATGTGGTTTACCGTCTCCCTGCGACTCCTCTCAGCCTCTGACTCGACTGAGGGCTTCACAGCAGCCACTGTCGGGGTAATGTGTGACACCGTGTGCCATCTACTGTGCAGCTCTTTGTCCCCTCTTTAGCCACATCAGCGTTCAATGGGATGGGATCTGTTGTACAAGGGGGATCGGACAATTAAGGATGTGTTGCTCCTCGGTGCCCGCCTCGGTGGAAGAAACCTTGCTTAAGGAAAAAAAAAGTAGATTTTTGAGTTGTTAAGATTATTCAACATTCTCTTGTTCATCTTAGATCCCCCGCCCCCTCCTAAATGTGCCTAATTTGATACTGATGTCATCTTAGTCCGGCTGTGTCCCTGTCCCACTGTTTTTTGGTTTGTCACTTAGGAAAAAACATTGTTTTGGCGCGAAAATGAGTCATACTTATTTTGTTGTTTTTTCTCTCTTCAAAACATGAAGGTCTTCTGCGTCATTCCACATATTTTGGTTCAGCTTTTTTTTTTTGTTTAAGGGTAAGAGGGAAATTTGGATAATTGGATGTTTTGGAATTCTACTGTAGTCAACATCTTGGTCATGTGACCATGATTATCCAACGTGTTGTGTCTGTTTGGAGGGGGCATTTTGGTCAGGCTCTGTATCCTGACGCTTTTTCAAGGTCAGTTGTGGCTGCCGCTGTGCTCAATGATACGTGCACAATCACAACGGAGCTGGCTTTTCAAACTTATATGTTACAGATAATACTTCCAAGTACAGTGTAACAGTGACATTTACCTCCGTTCTGAACTGCTGCCAGCTCCTTTCATTACTGTGCTGTATATCTGCATACGTCCAGATTCTTAAAGGTAATATCGAGCAGTACAAAATGGCACAATTTGGTAACATGTTGAAAATGTTCCCAATTTACTCAGTGAGTAAGTCATAGGCACAGTATAAACATTGATAAGTCGACGCATTCTTTCTCAAACATTCATTACAAGAACTAGTTCCTTTTTCACCAGTTTCTGGACTTTGCATTCAGTTCAGTTGTACCTTATAAATCCCCCAAAAGGACTTTTTGTGACTATATTATTCATTTTAATGAAAGATTAGCTGTTGAATAACTAGATGCGAATGGAAATCAGCTGGCAAAGGTTTACAGGGAAGGTCTGGTCCAAATCTTCAGTGATCACCATGAAACGGTTGAGTTGTTGTTTTTGTGGCCTGGCAACAGTTTAGCCGATGAGCCGACAGGTAACACGGTCATACTCACAGCCAGCAGTTTAACATCTGGGCTACTGAGACACTCCTTTTTTTTCGGTCCCATCTCCAGGATTTCGCCATCATTACACTATCTAATTTATCATAGTCAATATGAGTCAACTCTCATATGAATCGATCTTTACTTTTCAGCGATGAGTCATTTTTAATAGTTTGCCAACAGCTTACATATTAACTCTTCTTCAGTCTGAGGTGTTCATGTTGCAACCTCCAAATTTACTTTACAACCAAATAAATAAAAATTTTAATACATCTCAGTGTACTTTAAGTGTAGTGTAGATGTAATGAACGAGTTGTATGGAGCCTTTTTTGTTCAAATCCCTGCTCATTTTGCAAACTGGACTGATGGGAAAATTTGGACCCTGTTCCGTTCTGTTATTTTTTTAATTGTTCAAACGTTGTGTAGTTAAGATGATGTATTTTGTGTGTTCTCAGGGGATGTCTGAGGAGGCTGTCCGCCAGACACGCAGCCAGAAGAGGGCGCTGGAAAGGGAGGCTGCTCCGCTATCTGGCGAGCCCTCCAGTCCCGACAATGACAGCAAAAAAACTAAACTGGACCCGTCTGAACCCACATCAGGGGCACAAACTCCGCCCACGTCTGACCTTTTACTGGCACAGGACGTTGAGGGCCGGACTACACCCGGATCAGACCCCGAGATGGAGCAGGAGCCCGAGCAGGGCCCGCTGCCATTATCGTTAGTGCTACCCTTGGTTCCCCAGCCAGTGAACTATGACAAGGATCGATCGCCAAAGCAGATGGTTGAACCCAGCCCAGACAATCGGACTGACTGCAGTGACGGGGCAAGCAGGACTAAGACTGAGCCGGCCACGGACGCGAGGAACCAGGTCCGACAGATGGAGCCCAAGGCGACCGGGGGCATGCTGACGGCGGGCGAAGTAAAGGCCACCATAAAAGTCGAAGTTCAGACAGAGCAGCCTGTGGACATGAGCACCACCAGAGGGTGAGAAACCGAATGCACAGACACCGTCACCATCGGAGGTTTGGCTGTAGAAGAACTGCACTTTAAAAAGTTGGAGAACATATTTAAAAAAGGAAAAAAAACAATAGCAGGGAGCCTTTTTTTTTTCTTTTTCTTTTTTTCATTGATGTCCATTAGAGGAGCTGGGACACCATTTCGGAAATAAGTTGGTGTGAAGGTTTACCATAAATGACCGATCACATGAGTGATCGTCCGTTTGAACATAAGTAGTAAATTGGTTTCTCTGATAGACGGCCAGCTCCTGTTGTGGACATTTGGTTCCAAATTTCACTCACTGTGATTTACAAAAAGGATTACTGACACTTTATTTACATATGAAAAGATTGAAGATGTTTTAAAGTAACTTTTTTTTCCCTCCTGAAATGACTTAAGCCACTTCTGAGGGTTTTCTTGACGTGGTGTGCGTGGGGTGCATCTTTCAGCCTACCTCCATTTTCTCTGCACTCTCCACCTGAACCCTAAAAACTCCTCTCTCACAAAATGAAGCCGTGTGTCACAAACTGGTTCCAGCCGGTTGTTGCCATGGTTTCCACAGTGGAAGGAACAGTAGGGGGGGGAGTAAATGTGTCACGTGATGATGACTTTGAGGTCACGTGACTTCTTTGGAAGAGTAGTGATTAATCCACAGGAAGTGATGATGGCGCTAAGCCCTGAGGAGAGATTAATACACACACACACACACACACACACACAAGGAGGTCAGCAAGGAGAGACGGGCCTCATGTTGTCATGTGTTGACTTTTAGAAAATTTCATGCTTCATAGATGTGCAGAATCTGTGCAGAGGCAAGGCCGATCTTTTGGTTTTATGGGAACATTTCTCATTTAGTTCAGTTTTCCTGCAGACAAAGAATTTAGGTCATCAAACACGTAGCCCGCAGTAAAATGTTTCACTATGGAGTGGATGCTATATGTGCTGGGAGGTGGTGTGATTTAAAATATGCATGATGATGTTATTTAACCGACCAAAGGCTGAAGGGTGTGGGCTGATCCGGCCTGCCCTCACAGCATTTGCTTTCGTTTTCTTAGCATGCTTTGTGTGATGTACACGGCCCTGTGCAGGTCACTCCCAAATGCCTCAGACGCCTGTTCTACCCTGCCACAGTGTCCTGTTTCAGCAGGAAATGTGTTCTATGACACAGCATTTCTTTGTAACTTAAAGACATCGGTGCAGCTCTAAGGCCCACCTTACCCCTCTTTGGCATTTAGGACTATTTGCCTGTTGCTTTAAAAGCAGCAACACGGAGAGCAAAGCTGTGTGGAGAGCTGTCTGGACTTGTTAGGTCATGGTGAATCAAATAAAGCTGCAGTAATGAAATATAAATGTGAAGGGTGTGAGGCAGACTTACATAGGCATTCATAATAGACGCTGATATTAAAATATGTTGGGTCTATGGTTGTCATTTAATTTGCCTGAGAGTGCTGTAATTGTTCTGAGCCTCTTCAGCCCCACTGGATCCGTAACCACACGCTTATTAAACAGCTAATGTTCAGATTTCTTTGAAAAGCCCTGTGTTTTGATACCCTTGCATAGTGGGTAAATTTTACTCAAATGTGCAGGGATATTTGCATTCAGAAGAGCTTGGTCATTTACAGAACCCACAAAGCCACACAACTGTGTAATGATGCTGAATGATAAAGATAGGAAATATGGAGGTGCAACGAGTTATTTTTGGTGTGGAACATTGGAAAGAAAATGGCTTAAACTGCACATTAAGAATAGATTGAACAGCCCATTGTCACATTGAAAAGAAACTTAATTTTGTTGTTCATTTAACAGTTTTGATATTCCGTCTCTGCCTGCACTTCTGATTCTGGGCCAGTACTAGAGGCTAAATACTGTTGTCCATTAATTGCTTAGCAGTATCAAGAGGGAGAAGCGCCCTCCATCCCCTGAAGATGATGATGTCATCATCTTGTCAGATAACGACTCCCCCAGTCCTCCGGTGAACGGCCTGAGCCACTTTAAAGAGCTGGACACGGAGCTGCTCATGGTGAGGCAAACAGACACTGAGGGTGAAAGACTGCTTTAAACAGTGTCGATGGTCTAGCTAACCTGGGCTGGTACCTCCGCCCCCTAAAGCAGTTGATTACATTTTAGAAACTGAAAAGGTTCATTGGGAAGGAAACGATGTTCTGATCTTTCTTCTGTTGAGTCCAGAAGAGCAGCCCAGCGGAGAGGGAGCAAATCATCAAACAGCTGAAGGAAGAGCTGAGACTGGAGGAGGCCAAGCTGGTGCTGCTGAAGAAACTACGACAGAGCCAAATACAGAGGGACACTCTGCAGAAGGTATGCATGTCACCAACACACTCGCATCCCCACGTTAGGTTCTGTTTGTCAGGAGCCCCCCGATTATAGTCCCACATGGACGGAATGCGCGTCCGTCTTTTCTGATGAGGACCATTTAGCACAAGATTAAAAAAAAAGTAAGAAGAGACTAAAGCTGTTGTGACAGTGAAAGTAACAAAAGGATATTCCTAAACGGCAATTTCCAATACCGGTGAGGGTATAGGAACGGACCAGGCAGGCCTGCCAAAGGCTGCAATGACCCCCTTGATTTTGTTCATCTTTTATTCTTGATGATCCACTTAAGAGGACAACAGCGTATGCATTCGGCCGCAGTGTCTTCCATACAGCAGGCTAGGCCGAAAATTGCGTGGCAGGCTGTGGGATTCAGTTCTGCTGCCCTCCTGGTCGAGTCTTGCGTTTGGAACGGACATAAGCTTCTCTGAGCTGGAAAGCCACCTTAGTAAGAACTTACAATAGATTCAGGCTCAGCTCGTGTGCTGCTGTTCGAAGATCAACTAGAAGCAGGGTAGAACAAGGATTAGTCGTCAGCTGCAGGTCAAGATGGAGTCTATGGAAGGAAAGAGAAGTAGGGAAAAGTACTGGATCATTTGTCAGGGAGGATTTGACAGCTGATGTTTTAGTTAACTAACTTCTGAATTGTATTATCTGACTAAATCTGATTGTTACACCACTAAGCCTCACCTAAGCAGTGAGCATAGCTGTGAATTCAACAACTTCTTTTTGTTTTTCAGCCCTCAGGTTTATCTGGTTCCTCTGCTCCTCCTCCTTTAATCAGAGGAACCATTACAAGCAATAAAGGCTCTCTGCAGGTTTGTTTTTTCTATCGTCTTTTATGCATTGAGATTGCTGTTCTGAAAGCAGTCTCAAAAGTTTCTTATACCTTTTGATTGTTTTTTCTTCTGACCAGATTTTGTCAGGAAGGAGTTCAGGCACTGTCATCCCCCCCCCTCTGGTAAGGGGAGGGCAGCAGGGGTCATCTAAACATGGCTCCCAGATCATCATGCCTCCTCTGGTCAGAGGGGCACAGGTGAGTCAGAGGGAAGGGCTGATTTAAAAAGTGAAATATCAATCTACCGTGAGTGGATACATATTCACTGTGGAATTTTTCAAGACAGAGACAGGTCGAGATGTTAGGTGTTGTCAATAAACTGCAGGCTAGACAAAATGCACGCTGGTGAATACTTAGGACTTATTATCTTTCTTTGCGCCTCTCTCTGTTTGTCTGTGCTCTTTGCTTTGGTGCTTTTCGATGTCCCGTCCCTCGTCCTCCTCATCCCTTTTGTCGGCGATGCTCCTCCATGTCCACCCTGTCATTGTCCTGGTTAGCCCATCTCCGTGTCTCCACAGCAGATCCAGGCTCTCCGCCAGCAGCAACAGCAGCAGATGGCTGCCACTGGTGGCTCAGGGTCAGGGCCCCCCCCTCTGCTGTTGGGCCCCAGGACGTCGGCCCCTGCAGGCCAGGGCCAGAGAGGCATGGTCCAGTCAGGACTCATCAGAGTGGGCAGTAATGCTAACACATTGGTTGGTATTTCCTAGTTATTGTATTCACATCAGGCGAAATTAGTTTTTCTATTCAGCTTTTCCCACTCAAGTAAAATAATTGTTTTTCTAATGTGGCGTCAAAACTCAATAAGTGAACATAGCTTTTTTTATTTTATTTTTGTGATTTCTATAATAATTTGACTGATATATGCTGATTAATGCTGAGAGAAATTCTGTGTATTCAGCAGCCACATGGATGGATGACGACAGGACACAAACAAAACTAGGAGATAATTATACAAGTGAAGAATAGTAAATATAAAAGCGTGCTCATGCGTGAACAGTTCTGATATCCATATGAATATGGGTTTGACCGCACCCACTGATAAGTGAAACTGTTTTTTTAAAAGAGCTTTTTAGTCTGTGTGGGGCAGCTCAGAGCCAGCTTCCTTCTGCTGAACGTGCAGGTTCTGTGACTGATACAGCTGGAGTAGGTTTTCCCCCCGACACCTCCTCAGACACCTGCTCTCTTCACATCCCCGAGCCGGTCTCTCTTCCTCTGTGTTGTGTTAACAGACACACAGAGGGTGCACACACTTACTGATGATGAGCTAGAGCTCATTCAACAGCACTCACAGCTACTTAACATCTTAATTCTCAAGCATTTTCAGGTTGTGTTAAATAATGCCACACTGTCATTTGTAAGTAATCTGAAGTTGAATCAGTAGTGGCATGTGTGGGTTTTACAACGTACTGGGAGCTTTAACAACAAGCGTTCGTCAGCCTACAGAAATAGCAGGTATGTTACAGGCAAAAGTCACTTGCTAGCAAGTTCTACCACGGCTGAGCAGGTGGATTCACTAAAGATGGTCTTCTTATCTAAAAGCTATTTGCTTGAGCAAGAAATGACCTAATGCATGTTTAATAGTTACTTAAAATGCATTACTCAGTTTGATCAGCCCAACCCGTCTTCAAACACACTTTCATCAGAATTTATGTCCAGCTCACCACAGACCTTCACTTATAACTCCACTGATCTGTAAACTTTGACCCTAAAACATCTCCTTTTCTCACAGAGATCAGACATAATCAAGATGAGTTTACATCCTCATATTTTTCTTGTCTGCTTGTTCTGAAAGGCCTCATCGTCAAGCTTGAAGGGCTCCTCAGGAAGTGTGTCTGTGGTCAGCATGAACGACTCTCCGGCCAGCCGCCAAGCTGCAGCTAAACTGGCCCTGCGGAAACAGCTGGAGAAGACCCTCCTGGAGATCCCCCCGCCCAAACCACCTGCCCCAGAGTTTAACTTCCTCCCCTCAGCAGCCAATAATGAGTTCATCTACCTGGTGGGACTCGAGGAGGTGGTACAGAATCTCCTGGACACCATCCACAGAGGTGTGTAAATGTATTTCCTCCTTTATTTCTGTCTCTCAGTTTTCTTGTTCGACTCGTGTTCACGCGTGGTTGAAGAAAGGATTACCCGAACACCTCTGCCTGCCACCCAAGCTGCTTCATTTAGCTTTTTGTTTCAATTCTAATGCATTTCCCATCTCTCTGTATCCAGGAAAGACGGGTTTTTCACTGTCCAAGCCGGTGGTCAGAGACCCCTTCATCTGCACCCAGTGCAACACTGACTTCACCTGCCGCTGGAGGCTGGACAAGAAACAAGGCGGAGCAGTGCTCTGCGAAGACTGCATGTCGTCCAATCAGAAAAAGGCGTTGAAAGCGGAGCACACCAACCGGCTGAAAGCCGCGTTCGTCAAAGCCCTGCAGCAAGAGCAAGAGATCGAGCAGCGCATCATTCAGCAGACGTCCTCAGCGGCCTCCCACAGTACCTCGTCCTCCTCGTCTGCCTCTTTATCGATGAAGCAGGAGCAGCTGGTGTCTCAGCAGCTGAAGCAGGTTCAGGCCAGAGTGTCCTCCCTCCACCACCACCACCAGGTCAGCCAGGGAGTCAACCTCATTCACCATCACTCCATCAAGCAGGTGGGGAGAAGGCTGCCTCGTTTAAGGGGAACCAGCTCCGCAGATAACGCGTGCAACTCAAACTTTTTTTGGGGGGTTTCCTCGTCTGTCCACAGGGCTCAAAGGGCCACCTGTCCCACGGTGTCTCGTCAGTTGGGGTGAGAGGCATCCCCCACTCCTTCTCCTCCTCCTCCCAGCTGCAGAGTGCTGTGGCGGCCGCCGCTCTGGTCAGCCGGCCAGGTAAGCACGCCCATGTGTCCCACCGCTCTGTCCAGAGTTCAAAGGTGAGCAGCAGTGGGATCAGCGGCGGCAGGAATATCAGCGGAGGTAGTGCGTCATCCAGTGCATGGAAGAAGCAGAGCAACAGCAACACAGGTAGACTCTTATTAATGCTAGCCCGGCTCTGGCGCCTGACTTCTGCTCTTTTTCAATTCCTATCCGGTCCAAAACAATCCTTGAACATACACAGTTCAGAATTAGTATAGCAAAATCTTTTTTTTTTTTTTTTTGGAGGGGAGTACTACTAAGTAATGTCACTCATTAGAATAAAAAAACACACAAAAAACGGCCTCATTAGAGGCGGAATTGCTTTCTGAAAAAGAACCTCCCTTATTCCTCTCCCCTTCCCGAGCCTGATCTCCATTTTCCTACTTTGGTCCCTTATGTTCTGTGGACTCACATTCTTCCTGGGTGTCTGTACCGTAGAGTAGAACTGTCCTTTTACCTTTGTGTGCGTGCGCTGTGGGGAAATGGGTGGCAAAGCCTCACTGTTAACTCAGCCAAACAGCATTACACTTCACAGCCCGCATATTGCCCTAAACCCTGACCTGCTGCTCTTTTTCCCTTTCGCAGGGGTGACGATGGCCTATGTCAACCCCAGCCTGACGGGTCACAAGACCTCAGCCACCGTAGATGCCCGTCAGAGAGAATACCTATTGGACATGATCCCCTCTCGTTCGTCAATCTCGCAGACTGCAAACACGTGGAAATAACTGAATAAAACAATATACTGCTGTCCAGAATTAGTTAATATCCAAGTTTCCTCAGCTCCAGTAATAAGGCCCACAGTGCCCCCGCGGGACTGTTTAGTGATTACAATCTCTCAAAGTGAAGAAATGTTCTTGAATTACCTTTTTTGTATAATTTTTTGTTTGTTTGTTCGTCTTGTTTTATTTTAGTTTGCATCATTATGTTGTTTATTTTGAAGTCGGCTGTTCTTTTATAATTATGCAGAAATTGTTTTCATTTGAGTGAGGCAAAGAAAGAACAAAACTTGAAGGGCTTCCTCTGGGCTCTCTCCAGCAGACTGAACGCTTAAAGGATGAGCGATGAGAGGTTATGTCTGCTCTGCGTACCATGTGAAAGACAGGGACTCAGTGTAAGGCTTGTGAGCCCTTTCTGCCACTTTGTGGGTCAGACGGACCCAATCTTCAGACACTTGAATGGTAATAAAAATCATAGTTCATTCAACAAAAACACATCTATTTTAACAGAAAACAAAATAACCAAGTTGTAAAATGTTCATTTCAGCACCTGTGTAGTTAAATGTTTGAATTTATTTTTTCAGTAAGTTATATTTTTTTCCTTTTTTTCTTTTTTTTTTGGACTGATGTTTAAAATCACTCAGTATATAATGTGGTTTCCACTGATGAAGAGTTTATCTTTTTTTTCGTTTTTGTTTAACAGCATGCCTACCCTTACGCCTGTTTTGCACCTTAGCTGGTGTTATTGCTTAAGTCATCTGTAAGTACCATCTGTAATCTGCTTATTTTATATTAATGTCAACATTGTAAGATTATTTTGAGTGTTATGTCATCACTGAGAAATGCAAAGTAAAGGAGCTGGATTTATAACACCGGAGCTAGAAAATATTGCCTCCAATATTTATCCATAGTTATTCATTTGTGACACAGGCTGCACGCACCCCTGTTTCACTTATTAAAGGAAACATCTCCCGGCTAGAAAGACTCCAGATTACATAAGACCATTTGAATTTGTTTTCTATATGTTGCATTATTTCTCTGCTTTCCACTCATTTGAATTTCATTATTAAGAGTTATGTTAAGATTTATTTGGTTTACTTTTTCCTAGCTCCTAAAGAAATAATAAAAAAAAGTTACATTTTAAATGGTTGCATTCATTTGGGATTTGTTTAGTTTTGTCTCACACTCTAATAAAGAGTCCGACCACACTGACCTTCAGCCCACAGAAGCTGTTGAATTGTTTCATTACACTTCATGATAATCACATTTTGTAAATCATACATTTATCCCCGAGATTAGAGGGTTGTGCTACACTGTAACATGTTCTCAAGGACAACTTACTTTTGGGGTAAAGATCAGGACCGATGACCGCTCCATGTGGGAAAGGGATGTCTCTCACTTTGAACCGTGATTTTTGCACTTGAAGCAGATACATTTTGGACTTGTTATTTTAGAATATGTTTCCACCATCAGAAAAAAGCTAATCCTTTGATTGAAAAAGATTTGCGTGGTGCACTCAGGAAGTCTGCTCACCTTATTCTACAGTGAGCTGATTGTTGCTGAATCTAGACTCGACAGCACAAAGGAAAGCTGATTAATTTTTTCAGTTTAATCAAATAATTGAAAATGTAATTCAGGACAAAATTGTATATTTTTTCATGTAAAAGACTGCCTCATACCATGAAACATGCACCATATTGACATATTTTGATAAGTTAAGTACAACTTACCAAGCACTAACCCAAGCACAATAAAATATAACGTGTGAAGTAAAAAATTAAATCATCCTCAAGAACAGGGTAATTAACTTTAATCAGCATTGATTTTACAAGATGGATGGTCAGGGTATTCCCCCTCAAATCAGGTAAGTGATGTGAACATGTCATCAAAAAAGAGTTTATTTACCTCTAATGACTCTCAAAAACAACCTTTAAAAAGGTAGCCAAACCCATTTTATTACTCGGCTTCTGTGGCGGAGACACCAAAAGCTCCTTTTCTTTAACATACACGTGACACCAATATGTTTTAAAAGGAAAATACTGAATTTTTACTTCTCGACATCTGTGAAATCAAATAAAGTTACTTTTGTATCAACATTTACACATTCAGTCATTTTTATCAAGATTTTGATACAACCATTCCAACAGAGGAGTGCATGTGTTTATCTTTTGAGCTTCATCTTTGATTGCGTACAGAATTACATATTGAAATCTTTTCCACTGGTTACTGATATAAACAACTTTTGTGATTAAGTCGTTTTGCATTGTTATAAAAATGTTGCATTTAGCATTTTAACATTACAGGTTGATGGACAGCATCATCCACCTGCTGAACAGAGTCTACACTCATCTTGACATAGCGGCGAGCACTGTGAGAATCATGTTCTTTGATTTCTCCTGTGCTTTCAACACCATCCGTCCGGCTCTACTGGGTGAGAATATGACGTTGATGCAGGTGGATGCCCCCATCGTGTCCTGGGTTGTTGATGACCTGACGGGGAGACCACAATATGTACGCCTACAGAACTGTGTGTCTGACAGGGTGATCTGCAACACCGGGGCCCCTCAGGGGACTGTCCTCTCTCCATTCCTCTTCACCCTCTTCACCTCAGACTTCAGCTATTGCTCTGAGTCCTGCCACCTTCAGAAAATTTCTGACGACTCAGCAATAGTTGGCTGCATTGAAAGGGGTGATGAGGGTGAATATAGGACTGTGCTGGGCAACTTTGTCACTTGGAGTGAGCTGAATCATCTGCAGCTCAATGTGACAAAGACTAAGGAGATTATAGTGGATCCGAGGAGGGTCAAAACACCCGTGACCCCTGTTTCCATCCAGGGGGTCCCTGTGGACACTGTGGAGGAGTATAAGTACCTGGGGGTGTACTTAAATAATAAACTGGACTGGACAAGAAACACCGGGGCGGTCTACAAAAAGGGCCAAAGCCGACCGTTCTTCCTGAGGAGGCTGAGGTCTTTTAACAAATGTCAGACGATGCTGAGGATGTTTTATGAGTCTATTGTGGCCAGTGCAATCTTCTTTGCTGTCACACGCTGGGGCAGTGGGCTGAAGGTCGCAGACAGCAATGGACTTAGCAAACTGATCAGGAGGGCCGATGATGTCGTAGGGGAGGACCTGGATAGTCTGACCACCGTGGCAGAGAGGAGGATGCTGTCCAGGACAATGTGTCACTCCCTCCGTACGACACACTGGCCTTAGCAGAAGAGCTCCTTCAGCAGAAGACTCCTCTCACCCAGATGCACTGCAAAGCGCCACCGGAAATCCTTTCTACCTGTGGTCATCAATCTGTACAACGCCTCCCTCAGAGAGTCAAACCAAATTATTGACAATATCACTGCCACTTATTTTAGACCTATATATATATATATATATATATAGTTATTTATGTATATATATCTAGTATAAATCCATCTTTATTCTGTGGAATTTTGTATATATGTATCGACATGTGTAAACTAAATTATTGACTTTACCACTACCACTTATTTTAGACCTATATATATACACATATAGTTATTTATGTACATATAACTAGTATATATCAATCTATATTCTGTGTGGAATTTTGTATATATGCATATATGTATAGACATGTATATATGTATATGCTGTTGTTTTATTTATCGAGCTAGTAACAAAAATAATTCCCCTCTGGGATAATTAAAGTATTTCTGATTCTGATGAATGAAAACAAGAGGCATCGTTTACATGTAAAGAACTGTTTCTCAACCTTTGACTGTTACTAGATTACTAAAAATGAAATACCTGTATTTGCCATTTAAAAAATATATATATCAGTCCATTAAATTAATGTTATCGTTGTTTTATGTTAAGTCAACCATAGCAGTTATTTTAAGCGACGATTGTGTGCGGAAACGAGACGTTCTCACCTGAACACTTGGGGGCGGAAAAGCCTCGGCGAGCATTTTTTTCTACAAGAGAAGAAGAGCGGCCTGAGTGACGTCACCGGCGTTCTGTGGCAGAGGCTGGAGGAAGATGGCGGGGTCCAAGGTGAAGCAGGACATGCCTCCTCCGGGAGGCTACGGCCCCATTGACTATAAGAGAAATTTACCAAAACGAGGACTCTCGGGTACTTACACCACATTCACACCTCGCTTAACTTTATGTCCCACGTAGCATATCTGAAATATGGGCAGGATATTTGCGACTTTCCAGCCGGCGGCTAATGCTAACCGCTCTGCGACAACTAGAAAAGATAAAAGCTCAAATTAAAGTCCTGCGTTTGTTTGAGCTTTTACGTTTACTGCTGAAAAGACTAATGATTGGATAATGTAAGCGCTCATGTGGAAGATTTTTTTGTTTAATTGACCTGCTAGGCGAAATGTTATTGACAGTAATGTCACCCACTTGCTAATTAGCCAACTTGGTTGCTACTTATACACAAAGCTATGTGAACATTTAAACATTTGTGTTTATTTTTTTATTTACAAAGTGACAGCCATAGTTATTTAATAAAAACTGATGGTTTTAAACCTGTGATGGTCAGATTTGTTGCAATACAGACGTATGAAATGGGGAAAGGATATACTATCTCGAAACTAATGCAGGTAAAATACAAACGTATCTGTGGTCCTCGACTAGATTTCATAGGTTTGATAGGTTGCTATCAAAGCGTTATATCTTTGTTAGGTTACTTATATAGCTGTTAAAATGCTGTGATCTATTGGAAACAGATTACAGTGGGGAAGTTGTCTGAAATTCCTTGATCTATCAGAATATTTTGGATCACAGAACACAGTGTAAGATTGGGGACATGACAATGGCAAACATTAAGAAATGCATAGCATTAGTCTGATTTTGACGGGGACCTTTACAAAAAAGTAAAATGAATGTTTTAGTATTAAAGTTTAATCAATTTCTTTAACAATAATTGTAGACGTAACAAATTGGAAATGTGTCAGTATCATTGCTTGAATGTCAAATTTTAAGTAAGTAAACTAAGTAATTAATATGCAAATCAACTTTCATTTTCTTTTTCCTGCTGATTTTCTCTCTAAAGTTATAGAAAATGTGAATGGGATAGCAAAGTCTTTTGATAGATGATTACTCATCTAGAAAAAGCCGATGTTCAACTGTTGTTAATTTAGATACACACCAGTCAGTAGAACAGTTGTTAAAAATATGTTTGTGTTGTAAAAACCGATCAGGGACGTTAACAAGATAAAAGAGAACATTTCTGTCCTATTCAGAGTGACAGTGTATGTAAAAAAAATAATTTAAAATAAAAGCAATTACACTATATTAGACTCCATCACAGTTGTGTAAAATGGGGGTGAAAGCAGATTGAAGTAAAAAGGACTTTAGGCCCAACACAGCATCCATCATTAATATAATGATCTGTTTTCACACGATGATCGTGTCCAGTGAGACATCTGCATGATCTTACCTGTTTTCGTGCAAAGTTTAAAAATATGTTTGTTTCTGTACAGTTGGGCTGCTAATCAGTGTAATCATAACCATATTAATAACCATAATAGTATATTTATTATCAATAGGCACAAGATATGTTATGCTAACTGGCATATCGCCTCAGGATGGATCTCACGTTTGGAATACTGTGAGAAAACATCAATACAAACATATACGCATGTGTCCAGTGTTTTTAATAAGCCATTTAGGTTTCTTGATTTAGGCTCTTTGTTCCACATTTAATGTTAGTTACTGTATTAGCTTTTTTTTTTAAATGTATAACTGTGTTACATGACAGACATGGTAATGGTTTCAGTTGTGTAGCTGTGGATAAATGATTCCTTTGATCAACAGGATATAGCATGTTTGGTATTGGGATCGGCATCATGGTGTTCGGCTATTGGAGGCTTTTTACCTGGAACAGAGAGAGGAGGTAAGCCGTGTTTGGTTTTGCCGCGTCAGACGCCGCTGAGCTCAGACTGCTGCTGACGCTGTGTCGGTGTCACAGGCGCTTACAGATCGAGGAGCTGGAAGCCAGGATAGCACTGATGCCCCTGATGCAGGCAGAGCATGACCGCAGGTGACCACAGCTCTGTTTTGGATAGGGTGAAAACTCTTGAAAACTCTTTTTTTTTTTTTTTTTTGTGTAACCGTCTTCATTCCATTTTATCAGGACTTTAAAGATGCTGAGGGAGAACTTGGAAGAGGAAGCAGTCATCATGAAGGATGTTCCAGGTTGGAAGGTAAGGAATCTTTCCTAGAAACTTTCAGTGTATTTTTTTAATATAATTTCCATCTACACCAACACTCCAGCTTTGTTCTTTGTAACGTCCATTAAACACCACGGAGCAGCCTCACATGTAGGAACGAAGACTGCAGTCTGGCACACTGACTAAGGATGTCCTGATCCAGCTTTCTTCACTTCCAATAGTGACCTATCAGAGCATGTATTAAAGTTTGAAGTTATTTAGCCGACTTGCTTAGTTGTCAGACTGATGTTAAACAGGGATTTACTCTCATAACAAGTTAATGGTTAGGACACAGATGCTAATGCTTGTGTGTGATTGGACTTTTAAAAAACTGGATACGCATTTTTTTGCAAATATTAGTGGTCAATCTGATCCAGATATTGAATCGGCACAAGTGTAACACTGACTGTGTATAAACATTTATGTATATTAATTGTGTATTAATTAGAAATGGTCCAAACATTATTTAAAGTTTAATTTACTTGAATGTATCTAGGAAATGTACCACCACTGCAGTCTATACATTTCAGGAATCAGTTATATTTTTCCAGTGACAAGAAATAGCAAGAATACATTTGATTCCCAGCCTCAGAATGACGGTGATGACAGCTGCTTCGGTGAAAAGGAGCTCAAATGTTGAATTCTGTTCTGCTCGTTGTTCTTAACGTCTACTGGTTGTATTTTAAAGTTTGAAAATTCACGTAACAGCCATCCAGCTCCTGTTTATCTGAATTGTGGTAACTCGTGTAGGTTGGCGAGAGCGTCTTCCACACAGACCGCTGGGTCACCCCTCTGTCAGAGGAGCTGTTCAACCTCCGGCCCCGGGAAGAGCTTCTGCACAAGCGTTTTGGTTTCTTGTGGTACGTCTGATCACCACAGAGAAGGTGACCTGAGCTCCACCACCTTCCACAGCCATGTGGTCCTGAGCCTCGCTCACCTCAGCTTGTAAATGTTCAATATTAAAGTATCAGTTTTTTCTTTACCTAATCTTGCCTTGTTTTTCTTTTGACTTGCAATTATAAGTTGTCTAAATGAGCTTTCTTATACAGAAAGCTGAAAAGCACAATGGAAAAATGATTTAGTTCCAACCAATGGCTGAAAACATGGCTAGAACATAATTACTAGAACCCCTGAGGGTCATTTATAGCCACGTCCTTTTTGGATCCGTTCAGACAAAACGCACACTGACCACTTACAGCTATTTTATTGAAATCAGAATTCATACTTTGTCTAAGGGTCTGGAGCTCTGGCAATTTTAAAACTGAAATACAGGAACTGTTTGTAGGCCTTTTAAAAAGCATATCCTTATAAAAAATTTCAACTAAAGATCAAACCACCATGGTTGTAGTTTCCAACCAATCATGGGAGGCCAATCTTCCAATGTTTTACCAAGACCTGAGGGCCACAAACTTAACGTGTAAGGGTTTCTCCATGTCAGGCCACAGCTGTCACTTGGGGGCTACAGAAGACTTTTAACCATTGAAAAAATATAGCTTTTTTTTATATTCTAAAGGAAAGTGGCAAAATCTACAGGCAATATATATCCTTCAATGTCAACCCAAGATTAAGAGGTGAAATTGAGAGGCAAAAGACATTCCAGTTCCAACTCTTTATTTGAACAAACAAGCTACAATTTGTTTTAACGTTCAAAATGTCCCCCATACATGGTCAACACTTGGGGAGAAAAACCAAGCCTCTGAAGTCAACGCTTCACATGATTCAACTCGTTTGGCAGGACCTGTCAAACTTCCACTTCTGCTGCAAACTGGATCTGAAACAGATAAACACTTGATAAGACATCAGAATAGCAAAGGGCCTTAAAAGTTGAGCATGAACACAAAACTTACCTGAACCAGGATGAGTGAAGGATGCTGCTGCTGCCAGTCGGCTGCTTCGCTTGTGATTGGAAACGAGACGGGATCAAGTCAAGCCGCAGCCAATCCGTTCACCCTAAAGAGAGATCAGTGTTAAGCCTGGAAGAACATTTGGCGTAAACAAAAATGCATGCCATTCTATTAAACTCACCACACTGATAAGTTGGAAAAAACAAAACAAAAAAAGGCATGTGAATACAGTCTAGGTACCAGCACATCAGTTAAGGCTGCTTTGGGGCATTACTGGAGCAAAATTGAGGAGTGATGCAGTGAACAGAAGTGGACTGAGCACAATGCTACCCATGACTTAAGAGGCAAATGCTTTTAAAGGCAGGCTTTGGGTGGAGCACTATAATCCAGAGGAGCTTCTTAGAAACCTCCCCCTTTTGAATCCCGCTTGTTTTAAGAATCTCAATGGGGGGAGGCATTTGGCTTATTTGTGGTGGACATCTGAAGCACAGAGGACTTAAGACAGCGGCTAACTTGAAGGTATTCATGGAAACAATGAGACTGAGTTTGAAGGATGTGAGCAAAGCAAAAGGAGATTTTTACCTCACGTGCATTGGCCTACTCTCCACATTTGAATTAGGCAAGAGAGCAGCTTTCATCTCTGTTGAGCACTTGTTGGTAGTCGCAACACCTCACTCCAAGGACTTGTTGGTTTTTGTAGTAGCAGAGTTCTTGAACGTACTGAAGCATTGACATGACACCAGCTGACATTTTACCACCATTCTCTTCTATTCCCGGGATTCCATCAAACTTCACTATAAGTTTGACTTCAATACAATGAAGACGGAAAAAAACAAACCAAAAAAAAAAAAGCTACTCTTGAAAAATCTTCAGCAGTCATTAGGCTTAGAACAGTTTCAAGGTTTAATTCTGATTAACAGGTAGCAAATCATCAAGTGGATTTTACAGACTGAACCCTCCTTTTTAAGAAAATGCCAATTCAATAGCCCTGCAGAGACATCCATTTCAAAGCTGAGCAGGTGACCATTCTCACACTGCAATACACGAGCCAACCGCTCCCATCTTAACTCCCACATGCGGTCATTTTGAACAGGCAACAGAATCAGGATTATTTTCCACAGTTTGTTTAATAGGCTCCATGAAGCCAAACTGACAAAGAAAAAAAATATTGGATCATACAAACATAAAGTACAAAACTGTTCCCGGTTTAAATTTACTCTGGGTAAACGACGTTACATTTTCGATCACTTTCAACAAGATTAGTCCATTTTTACAGCACATTTAAAATGCAGATGTTGAGCAGAGCACAGAAGATACCTTGGACAGACTGTAGCATGCTGCATTTTGCAACTTCATGAACAGCCGGCCACTTCGGATGTGTAGTTCACCAGTCTGAAAGGAATTCACTCTTTTGGGAAATTGAACACAAAGGAGCTTTGGCTAAACTAAGGTTCTCTTTTAATAGCTAAAGGTCTTTAGCATTAAATCCCCCAAAGTTCATTTGTATAGGTCTTCACTCTTTAACACTTGGCAGGAGGTAGGGTCAGTCAGTGACTGAAGATAAAACAAAAAGCCCCAGATACTTCCGTATATAAAAAGCTATAGAATTCAATCAGGAAACAAAGTGCTGGACAAATGGTCTACAGCGATGTCGTGGCTGATCGTGGAAAAGCCATGTGAAGAGCTGTTAGATCCCAGATTGGGACTTACAGTAGTCACATTACACAAAATGACTTAAATAAAGATGCCCAATTATGCAATGTAGGATTCTTGAACTGTATTTTGTAACATGGTTTAAGGACCAAGAACTCATGGCTACATTGTTTTGAAGATGCCAAGCTACTACAACAGAACTAAAGGTCAGCAAAAAACACGAGGACATTTTTCTTGAGGGAGCATCTTTCAAATACAGCCAGCCAAGTGATGATCTTGAATCAGGGAGATGTTTACTCGTGTGTAGCTGGAGGATAAGAAGTGGGCACACAGGTAAAGACACTGAAAGTTCTGACACTGGAGTTTCATTACAACCCCCCTCAACCCACAACAGTCTAAAACCTCTCCCTTGGTTTTTGTTTAAGGGGCTCCATCAGCTGAGAAATGAGCATCTTTTGATCAGGCAACCTTCAGCATTTGCTCAATCGATTTGCCTCTTTTTCGGAGTGGGACCGGGCCGGCAAAATTTGGGGACGTAAGCATGAACGAGGGCTCGGGTACAAAACGGAATGTCAGGACTGTTCGGTTGAGTCTTGAAAAGGTTAGGGCTGGTATACTAAAACCAAGGTTGAGGATGCCTGGTGAAATTGTGTATCAAAGGATGTTTTTTCTTTTAATTCATATTGTAGGAGCAGAGTCACTATAGGTAGCCATTAAAGAAGCTTAACATATTAAAGTCACAGCCCCAACATTACCGTACATACATTACCAAAAAACTGAATGCTTACCATAGCTGTCATATGCATCGCGGTAGGATCCAGAGCGGTCGCCGTATCCACCCTGTCCCCTGTAAATGAATTATGAAGTTGTAATAAGATTCCAAGAACTACACTGCTCAGTCTAAAGATCAATTGGGCACGCCACTCACCTGTTTTCTCTGTAGCCTCCTGAGGAATAACCTCCACCTCCTCCGCTTCTGTAGCCACTGCCGCCGAAACTCCTGTCGCCGCCAAAGCTTCTGTCACCATAACTCCTGTCGCCGTAGCCTCGGTCACTGTTGTAGCCACCTATCGGGAGGTTGAGACAACTTTAAAAAGGTAGAGCTTGACAAAAAATAAAACACACTTGTAAATAAGTAAAATAATTTCAGGCAATTCTAAGCGAATAAAAAGCGTACTCTCTCCCCTGGAGAAGCCACGTCCGCCTCTACCTCTGGATCCAGTGGTGAATCTGCCACCGCGTTGGCTGAATCCTCCCCTGGAGCGTCCGCCCTTTCCAGCTTCATCCACTCTGATGGCACGACCGTCCAGGGTCTGGAAGTAAAGAACAGCACACCCAGCTCAATATACTTGCACATTGAATAATACATTTATATTGATATATATATTTTAAACTTAATTACCTTTCCATTCATGGCATCCAGGGCATCCTTTGCATCCTCAACATTGTCATACTTCACAAAGCCAAAGCCACGCGATCTGCCAGTTTCTTTGTCTCTGATCACATCAACTGTTTAGAAAGAAGACATTTTTGATTTAATCGAAAAAAAAAAAAAGAAAAAAAAAATTCTCGTTGAAAAAAAAGTCGTTGAAATTAAAATTCAAATAAATGTTAACCGAAAGTTAACGTACCTTTTTCGATGGTTCCATATTTGCCAAAGGCGGCAGCCAGAGAATCTTCGTTGGTCTCGAAGCTCAGCCCCCCAATGAACAGTTTTCCCTCGTCCGACATTTTAATGTAGCTAAAAAAGAAATTTTAAAAAACATGGTTTTAAAAACGTGAACGAGTTGTACAGAATAAAACGGATGGTTATTGTGCAAGTTTAAGCTGAATTGCGTAAATCGTCTAAGGTGGTGAGAGAAATTAGGTCACCAGGCCACTTACATAAAATGGCGATCGCGCGTTGCGCACTTTCGCACAGCGATCTTTACGACGATAATAAAGACGCATTTTTGACTTACTCGATTATTTAACAAAATATAGTTGTTAACTTGTCAAAGTGTAACATATTATGGACATAAAATACCATTAAAATGTTAACACGACCAAATTTCGTCGAACACCTGCATGCACTTTTTTCGGCGCCATTTTGTAGCATGGTGAGCCTTTGTCTCAACGGCCTATTTAACAAAGAGCTCGCTAATGTGGCTCGATGCCTCAATTCCTTTTCATATACACGCAGATGTAGCTGTACCCACAAATTTTGGGGTTGAATCACACTTCGGCTAAATTCTTGTTTTTACACGTTTACTAGGCCCCAAACCGTATTTTAAAAACAATTTACTATCGAACAAGTACAGACGTTTTTTTCCCCTTTTTAAAACATGAAAAATTCCGTCTAACATGTTAAACGGGTTGCTTATCTGTACATACATGCATACACAAGTATACCATCATCAAATTTAACAAGTGTATTAGTGAATTGTAAAAGAGCGGTTACCTTTTTCTCTTGCAGAGTTAAGGAGACTGTTACACCGTGTCGCAATGCAGGTCGAATAGGAAGAGAAGGAGGGGCTTTCCTTTTTTATATCTGCTGCAAACATTTCTTCTTCTAGTGTTTTGGGGGCTCACAAAGTCCATACTGCTTCCCCGAAGCCCGTGACTGCCACCTATTGTCCAGTATAATATGATATCAGGAACATGATCTCGAAAATAACGCAACGACAGATGGCCTCTGTTTCAACATTCTGACTCATCGACGGAAAACTATTCAATGAGTCCTAACGAGTCATTCAGCAAAAATAGAAAATAAGGATAAACGAAAGTGATATTGAAGAAGCCACAAACTAATGTTTATAGCTTCCCCAAATGGCACCTCGTTGTAAGCCACGTGATTGCCTTTCATTCCGTGCATATCCTGTCTCTTATTCTCCAGTCTTTGCGAATCGTGTTTTATCAGTTACTGACTTTTATTTTCATAGATCTTATGGTACAATATTAATCATGGTAGTTTCTTCTGCGTGGTCATTTTCATTCTATCACATTTATGTTGTCACTCATTGATGTTTTGTACACTATTATGGACATTTTAAGAACCTGCCATTGTGTACATTTTCCATAATTTAATATATCTTCATTGATATTCATCAATTGTATTAAGCAATGTACCTGTGGGATACAAGATTGACATTTTATGTGTGCTGGGTAAGTATGTTTAGCCACCACCATAATGCTCAACACCAGATGAACTTTATCTCTTTTGAAATGTAATTGTAAGTTTAGTTTACAATCACATTGCTTGGACCATAAGGAGTAGCAGGGAAAACACCTTTATACGGGCGTTCTCTTGTCTCTGTGGTTGCTGCTTTTTTTTTTGGAGTCCACAGTCAGGCCAAAATCTGCCTCTCACACAACAACTGATTCCAAGGCAAAAAGTCAGTTCTCAGTCAGACTTGATTGTGTATTCCAGGCCTTCCATCTGCTGCGTGAAGACAAACTGCACACAGGGCGAGACATCATTTGGGCTCGGCTCTTCTATTCACACTCTCTGTCTTGTGGGTTTCAGCTTGAACAATAGTAGTTGGTGTTTGCATGTGTCGAATCAGAATACAGGGTGAGGGGTATGCAGGGCGGGGGTTGCAGGAATAGTTGATGGTTGTCAGCAAGCAGCTCAGAGTCACAATGGAGAATGAGAATGGGCTGTGACATTAACATCTGTGCATTTAGCAGATGCTCGCATCCAAATTGACTAACAAGGACACAGGAGAATTAACAATCAAGTACAAGTACTTTTCAGATCGAGAATAAACAGATGAGTTATCAGCAAGTTGTTGCCCTCTGAAAACAACCATGAATTGCTCAAGAACAAGTATTCAGCAAGACACTTCACATTCATGTGAGAAGTCCTGAAAGCCATTGATTAGTTGGATTCTCCTATGTCCTTATCAGGTTTTAGTTTGATTGAAAAAGACGTTGTCCTGTGTGCATCTTTGGTCTGACAAAGCAATCAGTCTGGTAGGAATGGGATTAAACTTCTCACTCTGCCTTGCTAATATATCTGGATCAGACTGAGATACATTCATCGAATGCATTTATCTTGTTTGTAAGTCTACGTCATAATAGAATCTTAATACGATTAAATAATCCAGATTCTTCCCCATAAATGTAGTGTCACGTCAGAGAGAACATTGATACTTTGTGTTTGATTTATGAAAAGGGCTTGATTTAACAGTATCAGATCAGATTCATCAGATTTTTATTTATTCTTTGCACATTTTCTGTCCTTGTTTTAACTTTTGAATACTGGAAAAGCAGATAATTTAAAGGGAACATGGCTGCAGAGATAATACTCTACGTTTTACATTCAACTACAACTACAGTTAAGGCATCTGAATGAGAGGCTAAACAAGAGACCACATTCAACATATACAAATACTTTTTTTCAGACAGGACAAATACATACAATTATTACATGGAGAAGGCAGGAGGCCATCCACAACTGGTTCAGATATGCGAATGACATCTTTTGCCAACAAAAACAAAAAACACCCAGGAGAGTAGTCTTCAAAGAACATACAAACATTTTAAACAGCAACATCATTTTCACCAGAAAGAGAATGTCAGAGAAAACGAGGCATGTTTTGAGACTGGACTGCACATTGAAAACACATGTCTTGACATTTGAGACTTTTAGAAGTGCCATCATTTAAATCAGAAACCAAACCTTTACATACACCAATTCCTGCTCTACTACCCTCACCGAGCTCTGGAAATTTACCGCACATACAGAATAAACGTCTGGGGAACAAGTTTGAGAAAGCTAGAGGGGGCATGTCTTTGGAGGATGGTCTACAGTACCGTGAATCCGCTACATACAATGCAGTTCTTCAATGCCTCTTTGAGCCACTGCATAACACACGATTGATGCGAGTTTCGGGTGAGGAACACCCAAACACATTCTGAAAAAGTACTCAGAAACTGAGTCAGTAGTCTTATTAAGGGTCCGCCTCCTTAACGAGGTGAAACTTTCATAAAACCACAAGACACTTTGGATTACGCAAAGAAACACACACAGATTTGTTTGACCAATCACAGAAAAGTATGACACAGAAAAACAGAGCCTTTCTGTGACTTAGTGCTACACTGACTCCTGTTGTCGCTGGTGGACAGACTCAGAGTCACGCTCAGTACTAGTATATCTCTGAAATGTCCACAGTGTAAATAACTAATAAAGCATCACCTACATTTGTGATCCTGTGTTACTGCACAGGCATTTCAACATAAAGTAAGAGGTCATATGTGGTTTCAGCGGTCACCCCTGCTCGAAAAAAACAAAAAAAGTCTCGGTGAGTGCGTGATTTTTTCCATGAAGGCAACTATGAGCGATGGTGACGATGCCGGTTTGGACGGGTGGTGTGGTGGAGGTTTGAACTCCTGCGGATCCGTCTGCGGAGGCGCCGCTGATGCATCAGATCCTGGAGGTGCTCTAGCTTAGCGTGGAGTGTTTTGTTTTCTTCTGTGGATGTGTTCAGCACATGATGCTCATCACCTATTGGTGAGACCAAAAATAGCATGTTAGATGTAAAATACGAAGTTAGAAAACAGTTCTCAGCATTCTAACCCTTTACTGAAAGGATAAGGTGTTCTGGAAAGGTTGGGTGGAAACGTAACAGCTCGATAAGAATAAAACCATTACACAAAAAGTGGAAAAACAAGATCATTCATTGAGATTTGGTGAGGTAGAAGAGAGAGCTGAAAAGCTCAAGTTAGATACACAGAATTTATAACTATGAAAGTAGAGCTCAAGAATACATATTTAAACTGAGCCAGCTATTATTTTCACTTTTAACTTATCTAGTGATGACATCTCTGAATAAACAAAGTATTGAAATGTAACAGAAAAGCTGCAAAAACTAAAGTTTTGGCCCTGAATGAGTGATTTGAGATGAGAGTGTGTTAAAGTAATCCCAATCTGCGCAGCATTATGCAAACCCACGTTCACATTTTCTATCGGTTTACCAAAAGAGCATGTTTACCACTGTGCTCTGTCCTCTGGGTTAGCAGGGGTCTGCTTCTTGCTCTGCAGGGTTCCTCTGCAGTCATTTGGCTAGCTGGAGGCTCTGAGGCAGGAGGGCAGCCCGGGAGAGGGTTTGGAGCCCTCTGGTGGTGGGATGCAGCTCTGAGGAGGTCATTCAGGATTTGCAGGATGATGGCGATGCCACGTCGACGAATGCCACTCTGCATACAAGGGGCAAGGGTCCCTATAAGGATAAAAAGACAAAAGATAAATTAGTGTAACTGTATGTCATCTAGGAGTCTAATATGAATATCCAATTACAGCACTTACAAAAAACCTGAGCTGCTACTAACGCTTAAACACCACACCTGTTCAGTTCATTCTGCTGGAATACTGAATGTAAACCTGAACTTGTCTGTGTTGCTACACCGACTGATCTAGGTCCGAATTCTTTCAAATCTGTGAACTCTTGATTTGTCTGAGCCACTGAGGACTCACCAGAAAAGGTCCCTGAGAAGACACCAGGCGAGTGATTCACAAAACTTTCAATGACTGCTCCTGGCTGCTTTGCCGGCCCTGCAGCAACATCTCTCTGCGAAGAGAAAAGAAGGAAAAAAAGGTTGATAAATGCCACAAGACGTCAAATCAAAAGTGGAAATGCACATTCTAAGTGCTTTTTACATGTTGCCAGAATCCAGCAATTAAAAACCTCTTTTGAATGAACCTCTGCGGTAGCACGGCCAGCCTCTGGGAAGGTGGACGCTGCGGCTGGACTGGAGGGCCGCGGGCTGGAGCCCGAGGGTCTGGACGAGCAGATCGCTGCGGCCGCTTGGGATGGACCGTCGCAGTGTGGTAAACCCGAGGGTGATGGAGGTCTGTGAGCGGGGTTTGAATGGGGCGGAGCTGAGGGGTTGAGGCAGCTCGCGGGGGGGACATGGCTGGATGAGTTTTGGGAGGTTTTGGGTCTGTGAGCAGTGCACTGGATGTAGGACGCAGAGGAGGTGGTCTGTGAGGTAGAGGATCCCGTGGAGGAGCGTGCGGGCGCAGGGTGGGACCGGTCCACGCCGCCGGGCGTCTGCAGACCCGTTTGAAGCTGGTAACTGCTCTGAGACTTAGAGTCCCGGCTCTGCTGCAGCTCCTTCACATCCTGTGCGGACAGCTGGAGCTGCACATACATCATGTGGGCACCAGTCCTCGTGTTGAGGGTCAGAGGAGAGCGCCCCGACAGGAAGTCATTCATCTGAAAGACAACCCCAAAAGAGGCACAGGATGGTTAAGAGTCACGTAGAGTACTGTATAAAAAGCTTGTTTCCTCAAAGAAACTGCCAGAAATACTGGTTAATCAGTTAAGAGTTTCACAGTTTAATCATAAGAAGAATAGGACACGGCTGTCTTAAAATGGCTAAACACCAGGACTGGACAGCCTTGAAAAGCAGCAAAAAGTCACATAATATTTGTGATAAACATTCAAAAAGCCTTTCGTAATAAGTCATATTTAATAATGAGAATTATTGATAAGTGATACTTCTGTAATAACGTTTAAGACATTATTTTTAGGCATAATAAACGCTCAACACAGCTCTACCCGCCTCACAATGACCAGTTTTAGGTGGTTTTCCATCATAAATGAGGTCCAAACAGAATAGACAGGCCAACCGGCCCGTGACTCCATTTAGAGCTGAGCTGAGCTGTATTGGTTAACTTGGTTTGGTTGGTGGAAGAGAGAAGTAGGTGATGCTGTATTGTTAAAGGGGAAACTGATCATGGATATTGTAGATTAGAAATGTGTATTCATTTCTGTGAACTGTGTTACACAGGAGTACATTTCAATAACATCCATGGACGGTATCAAACGTTTAATTAGTTTAAAGGACATTATAACTATAAGTTAACTCAATTCTGAAATGTAACTGACCACTGATCAGCCATAGCGTTAAAACCGCTGACATGTAAAATGAGAAACAGGGCCCATCCCATTAGAGTCCCGTTACAATTAAAAAATGTTGGCAGGGAAAAGCTCACACTGTCTTTATTTGAACTCTTCCAACTGGCAGTAACATCATTTGTGCTGACCAGTTGTGGTAAAGACCCACCCCTACAGTAGCAGCTTCTCCCAGCAAAGACCGCAGTGGGCCACACAAAGCGTAATCTAAGGTCATTGTCCGGCCTTAAAATTCCTGAAATACCAGCCTGATGAGATCTAATAGCATCTGTGGGAAACAAGCCCAGTCCACTTAGACCCCACCCATTATCACCAAAAGATCTATTACCAGCATCTCTATTCCAGATAGGCCAGGAACAATTGTTTTTTTTATTATATCTTAGAGCTGACTAGCCAGAGCTGTTTGACACTATGGGAAGGAGAATCTCAATATAAAGTTATGCGGGTGTGTGTGTGTGAGTGTGTAGCTTTCTTACTTTTAGTAACCATGCTTGAATGTCTATGTCAGTATAAACCAATCGAATGCGGGGAATTTTGTTCAACAACATCATACTTCTAATTGAAACCACAAATTATGTCCACAGGCAATATGGAATCCTTCACATAAGATGAATTCATCCAAGAGCTGTGTAAACTCTCAGGGAAAATATAAGATTTTCAGAATCTCTGGTTATCTAAATAATGCCCTCCACTGAGCTCAGAGTTGATGCACTCCCAGGGGAACTCAGAAACAAGTATATGAAAGCATGATGTCAATGACAGACATACAAAGATTGAACAATGTCCTGCTCAAATACATGCACACATGGCAAAAATACCAAACACAACACTTACTTGGGCTTCTGTCAAACTCTCCAGCATCTCCAACATCGTCCTCTCTCTGGTAGACGAGCACTGTGGCACGAACATAAGCTGTCAAACGGACTGGTTTCATATCATTTTTGGTCAATAGAAGATGCGCAGTGGCTTACTTACAGCTAAACCAGCTTCAACCACGGGCACCAGCGTCAGTTGGCTGCCATCAGAAACTCCCTGCTCAAAAAGTTTCCCCGCCGTCAGGTGCCTGTAACGTTGCATCCACGCAAGTGGGAGAGAGAAACTGTTAAAAACGGGCTCATGGAAATGAAATAACCACACGTGGACGCAGTCGGGGACACAACTCGCCTGTCTTTGTGCAGGAGCACGATCCTGTCAGTCTGCAGCCGGAGCTTTTGGGAGATGCGCGTCCGCAGACCCTCCGCGGTCTCTCCGCGGGGGACGGAGAGCTCCACGGGGCTGCCGGTGGTCAAAGCGATGGACAAACGCATAGCGGGCTCTCCGGAGGAGACTCTGGCTCCTGCGTCAGTGGGCTGCGGTGGGCTGAGGCTACACAACCCACGACACTGCTGCGGCTCCATTCACAACCCCCCTTTTTATTCTTCTTCTTCTCTGAAAATCAGATTCTGGTCGCAGGCATCGAGTGACGCTAGCTGCCGAAGGGTTTTATTTTGTTAGTCCTCTCCTTTTTACATCCTAAGCGCCTAGCTGCCGAAGGGTTTATTTAGTTAGTCCTCTCCTCTTTGCATCCTAAGAGCCTTTAAAACTCAGACACAGACCTGTTTCCAGCGCAACACGGCGTGACAGTTTGTCTTTGTGACCGTGTCAGAAGCTGCTTTACTCCAAGCGTAAGCACACCCCAACCCTGTCAGAGAAAGTCCCGCCCACCGACACATGGAGCCAATCAGTGAGAGCCACAAGACTGTTGTTTTTCGGTCGTCCAATGGGAAGGCTCCCCCTGCCACGCGACTCCGCCCGTGTTTGTGCTGGTCTCACCATTCATAAGTGATGCAATCCACGCAACAGAAGGTGTGCACGGGATGTCATCATGTCAGAAAGTCTATGTTGTTGAAATGATATCACTACCCTAACCCTATCTAAGAGTTGTTTTTATTTTTTATTTCTTCAGCTTTTCCGTGTGGATAACCAGTAATATCAGAGGCTGGTTGGGGTATGACTAAGGTTTTTGTTCGTTGGTTTACATAACAGAGACTTGAAAGGTTCATTTGTGACACCTGCTTTCAGAGATGGCTGGGGATGCCTTTTAGGTAGTGTTCTTTATCCTTTATTTTACAAGCATGCACGCTCGCCCATTGCAATAAAAATGAGTTAGGAACTGAATGCCTAAAAGTAAAGGCATACAAAATAAATGTGACTCTAGAAATGTACTAAAACAAATAATTCTCATCAATATTGATCTATGCCCTTTGTAGATTAAGCTTTTTTTTAATGACTTTTTTATTTTAGTTTTGCATAGTAACTGAAATTGAAGTTCCTTGTGTCATCCAAGCGTTTGCCCAATTTTTTTCCTTACTGTCGTTAAATTATCAATGATAATATGTATATGAAGTTATGATAATTGCAAGCCATGTTTTGATTTAAACGTCTGAGTCAGTGGATTCCTCTTTAAGCCCATCCCTGCTTGCGTTGTGCTCTAAGGCGGGATTCACCTCATGGAAGCTCATTGTCACTTAAGCTTTCTGCACACATCTCAGGCTTTGCCGAGATGAAAACACCTACTCTTGTTTTTCTGCGGCCCATCATGTCCTCGGCTGTTTGGTATTCTGATCCACCCCTCGTCCACAGCAGGATCCCGTGCTGCACCTGTCACATGACGCACGGTGCAGGGGAAAGGCTTGGAGTAAACCATGACGTAGAAAGGCTGGTGAGGGGCAGAGGGATGCAGCTAATATGTGTCTCCATGCTGAGGCTAAAAATAGCCGCACCAACAACACCTCAACATTGCAGCCTGCGTCACTTCACTATCACATGTCTCATACCCCCCCCCCCCCCCCGCACCCTTGTTCACCTCAGCCCACTGTGCAGTCAGGTTGCGTCCGTCTCATTGTGTCTGCTCCATCAGAAAACCTCTGCAGTGTGGGGTATTCTGCGCTATTGTTATTGTCTGTGTTACTTCTTTTAGCTGTTTCACTGGGTTCCTTTTGAATGATTTTTCTGAGTGCTGACACCCCTCAAAGGTCTGCGGAGCAGAAATATGAAGGGGTCCCTTTGAATTTCTGATCACCTAAACATCAAACAATCTAAATCTCAAACCGTTTTTTTAAACCTTTGATGATTTTCACTGGACTTACCCCCACCCCCACCCATGACCTTTCCTGAGTCTTTCTTCCTCATAAATGACTCAAAGTACTGGGTGACCTGTTGGTATATGGATGGAGAGCCTTTCCTCCCTGAGTTTTTTTTGCTGAGATGAGCGAGGCGGGAGAGGCCACTGCTTTGCATTCTTCGAGTCTCAGTGAGAACAATTCCACAGGATGTCCTGCTCTCCGGAGCAAGCACAGACGCAGCTCTGACGTCAACCACCCAGTGATACACAAACACTCAACGCTCACAGTCTCGCTCACATTCCTCCCACCCCTGCACAACCTCTCCTGGCATGATTTCCCAGATGTTTCAGTCCTGTGGTATGTGGCACCTTAGACATCCTGGAAAGTTTAAGATAAAGAAATTGTATGAGTGGAATTTGGTTGTGGTTATTCAAATTTAGCACCTCAATACATTTGTTTTTTTTCATTGCTTAGAAACAAAGAAAATATAGATTAAACATGTTTTATTAGTCTTACATTTTGGACGAAAAGATTTTAAACTAGAAGACTAGTATCTCAGGTAGTGCAGTAAAATGTCTCTATATTTGAACAAATTATTTAAAATAATACCAAGCACAATCATCTTGAGGAGTACCAGATTGGTTCTCTCCTAGTTATACAGCTGATCTAGTTTCAAAAGCTAATTCAGATCGCTGACTTTTTACATCTCAAAGAGACACAAAGGAGCTTCTGCTGCAGTTCCTCATAGATGCCCACACAGATGTATCATTCATTGTGAGAGGTGCATATAATAATATTTGTAAAAAAGAAAAAGATCGTTTAAAATTCCAGAAAAGTTTGGATTTTAGACTGTTTCAATGAGAACTCTCACTTTCAGCATTTGATATGTTTTCTGTTATAACAAGATAAGATTTTATGAGGTTTTGAAATGATTGCATTCTGTTTATAATATCATTTAACACAGCGACCCTTTTCGAAGTAAGATTGGAAAGAATGTACGCACACACACACACACAAACACAGTAAAGATTTCATTTTAGTCCTTGTCACTGGTTAGTCTTTGGAAAGTAACAAACTAACATTTTTCTTGAATTTTCCTTTATCAAAGTTTGACAAAGGTCACTCACAAGTGGCGCCTCGCTTATATGGATTGAATGTCTGTCTCTGATGTCAAGGACAAGGGTTTGCCTGGTTTCATTTTTGGAAAAGATCTTGCATGCCTAGCATGCTTTCTCCGTCTTTAGTGTTGCCACATATGGAGCATCTTGTCCTCAAGCAGTGACGCATACAGAGGAAAATGCAATACACATGTGGCTTCAGCATGTATAAATAGTCTCTAACAACATATCCCAGAAAATCTTGGAATGGATTGATAGGTCACAACAAGAAAGTCTGTCAGCATCTTAATGTACCACGTGCTTTAGTTTGAAACAACTCTTATAAGAAATAGAAGGCCGATGTTCTCTTACTCTTAACAAAACCACTGAACTGGGAAAAAATCTGACTAAATGAAATTTTTTTAGAGGTTACTCATCTAAGATAAATGTCACTTTAACCTTTTGAAACAGTACATCCTCATGTGAGGAGATTGCAATTTTTCCTTTCTGTACCATGAAACTATTGTCCTCATGGCAGACATTATCAGACACTGAGGCTTGAAATCTAAACTAAAATGGTTTAATACGTGTTCAACCAAATGTGTATTTATTGTGTAATGTGTAATGTACTAATTAATGTGTAATGTGTAATGTACTAATTAAGTGTTCCAGACCTTCACAACCAAACTGCAAAGAAAACTTCTATATACACCCAACAAATGCACATTTTGAATACAAAGACAAACCCACTGTCCCTATATGAGGAAAATTCTTCCTGTATGACGACAGTCTAAACCCATTGTGTGCTACCAATTCCATATATATAGATATATATATAAATATAAAACAAAAATGCACATCATATAAAAGCTTGGGTCTTAAGATGTTTTACGCAATCGATATCTCCCTGCCCTTCAGCTGTGTTGTACAATCGTTGTGTATTCACCGGTAAACAAGACTAAACATGACACTCTCACGTTCACCAATTGGAGGAATGCTGTTAGGACTGGGGTTACATTGTAGTCTGAAACATGGTTATGGAAATCTCCTTTCTCCACAGCACACATCTGAAGTTGCTGAAGACTTGAAGACAAAGTGAGGCAAAGACCTGAAGAAATTCCATTTGCGGTTCCAATAAGAAGCTTAATAATTGTCAATGACAACCCGTTGTTATAAAAGCAACATATTTACAGACAAGTGCTATTTTAATTTTGTACTTCCATCCACAATAAGTTTTTTTTATTACTTTCATTTCTCTGCTTATACACATGGTCAGCAGTTTGCAAACCGTTCCCTAAAAATCCCATTGATTTAGGTGTTTGAAGAGAGCATTCTGCCTCATGGGCCTCACAGGCAAGTAGCCAGTGATCGAAAGCGTTCCAGAATTCAGTTGCAAAGCAAGGGGAGATTTGACGGTCGAAAAGGTTTTTGGAGGAGACATCAGACAAATAAGCCCCTTCTGAGACGATACATCATTGAATTTCACCGTTTTAAATACGCCAGTGAACAAATAGATTTAGGTGTTTTAGTTGTTGTCTATTGATTTTCTATTTCTGTCATACAGTCAGTAACTTCCGACCAGTATTCAGTATTCTGATAGTATTCGGATGACATTACTTTTTTTGCACAGACTGCACACAGCATGATATAATCTAAATGTATCTATTTAAATGTTAAATGACATTATTCTAGCGTCTTTGTCAACAATTGCTGTGTGAATCAGCCTGGAGCGTTGTCTGAGTGGTGAAATTATTTCATCATAGTGCCATACACCCACCGGAATCCTTCAAGAAAAAGCAGGTGAAGTGCATTTCAAATGTTCTCATGGCAGCGTGTTGCAAGTTATTCATCCGTGGCAATTTGCAGAATAACAGTGAAAACACTGAATAGGCTCAACGTCTTGTCCTGTCTTCAACTGGAAACTAGCAGAGCAATGGTGCCACCTCGTGGGCAACTCTGAGACTACAAAAACGGACCCTTACGTCTGTCCATGCATCTTTTCTCCCCTACAAGGAAAGACAAGAGAGGGAATACAGTGAGAGCAAACAGAGACAAGTCAAACGTCTTCTTCTGTGGCATGTGGGGCTCAGTTTATAAACCGATGACAGTGACAGTATCATAACCGACCAGCCTCTCTGTAAACTGCTGCCATTCAAGAGCAACTCTTAAAGACGGCTTTTCTGCCTCATCTCACCACCATCATCATCAACATCATCATCATCCTCATCATCATCTGTGCTGGTCACGTGGCTCCCCGGGAGAGGGCGGTGGGTGTGTCTTATCGCGTATAGTTCATTCATAACTACAGTCTTTATTTGAAGCCCAAATTAAAGTATGCAGACGGGGCAGGCTGCCTGTGGACCAATTCCGAGCGACTCTACGACCAGGTGAGCCCCGTTTCTGTCCCCGATCCGGCGCGCACGGGTCTCCAGGCGGGCTCAGGGCACAGCTTTCTGTGGTATAGCTACTGTTTCATTATGTAAGATGTGGGATAGGTGACAGAGCAGACTCTATAAAAAAAAAACATACATGTGATTTATTGGGAAGTGTTGGACGCGCAGGGTGCATGAAGGCTCCCGTGTGACCAGTCGTGACTTATCCCCCCCTCACACACACACACATACACACCCCCCCAGCAGGCTGAAAGGCGACGCAGAGACATGGGACAGCCCTGATCGGCGGAGGATTTCGGAGGAGTCCGGGAGGTGCTGGTGCTGATGCTGGTGCTGATGCTGAGGCTGCGCGCCCCCGGCTGCAGCGCGTCGCTGTAGTGTCGCTCTGCCCAGAGCTAAAGGGGGAAGCTCCCATCCACACACCGCCCGTTTACACCGTGAGATCCCGCACATCTGGGGCTCTTCATCACCCACTCACGCACGCAGGGTGAGATTCGGCGGTGCCCCATTCCCTATACTTCCATTACCTGATGGTATTTTGTAAAGATGAAAATGGGCGTCGTTGCATGTGCCAAGAAACTTGTGCAGAAAGTAAATGTCTGTCTGATGCCGCTTCATCCATTTGTCTGAACGGTCAACACGAACTGATGTGAGAATACAAGCGTTCCTTTAAACCTCGGACACCAAACAGGAGCAGCCATGCAGGCTTGGATTATGGTTTCACTTGTACTTTGACATTTTGCTTCGATTTTTTTAGCCTAGAAACCGTGAAAAGAGAGATCAATCAGGAAAATGTAACCTTATGCTATATTGTTTCTGATGATTTTACATTAAGAGCAATGTGACAGTATCTGTTATGTCACATTGAGTAAATTAAAACCAAAGATAGGGATCACAATGGGAGCTTGTTCTGACCACAGAGGTGTAAAACACACTAAAACTTTGTGGTTTATATTCTTTGTCTTAAACAAATTGCATGTATCTTGCAAATCATCTGCTCTGGACTTTTATTTTAAAACACTAAATATAAGTAACTTCGTTGGAGTGTCACAATGAAGCTTACTGATGCTGAGGTCTGTCTGATTTGGAGTAGAATTTAAATGGGCAACAGAGCGTGCAGACAAATTAAGCTAATGATGTAAGGCAGGCTGTCAGGCCGGCAGAAATGCTGTCAAATGTAAAACATATTTTCATGAAAAATCTGATGTATTACTCAGACCAATGGAGAGGCCCTAGGGGCACAAGCAAATGTTGGGACAAAGTGACCCACACGCAGACTGTGTCCAGCTTCACTGAAGATGATTCAACGGCACAAGGGTTCACATGCATGTGTGTAGTGGTTGTGTGCGAATCGTCTCTCTATTCGGAGCTTCGTCCACAACATTTTCACCTTGAGCTGCTGAAATATTACATGAAAAGAGACTTTAAGAGAGCGAGGGAACGTGCAGGAATGTTGGCAGGGAGGACCACGGCCATGGAGCGGTGTGACACAAGCTGTTTCAGATGTGTCAGCTGAGACACAACCGGGATTTGGACGCAGAAGAGTTTGTTGCCCCCTAAATCAACAGAGAAGTGTTAGAGTGAGGTTTTGGTATACGAAAGAGCGACGGGTGGCACCGTGAGTGGCTGGACTGTAGGAGGGGCTGCACAGCTACAGTTGTAAAATCTGTTCTGTGGTGGCAGGGAGAGCTTACGACAGCCTGGAAAGAGATGCCTTAGCTTATCTCGAAGCCGTACAGGAGCATGGTTCACAAACAGGGTGGATTTGACCTTTATACGTGATTATGTGTGTAAAAGTCAAGACTAACATTTTGGTAATCTTAAATATGGCAGCATAAACGACTTAGGATTTCAGATATATTAAACTATCTAACAGGCTGCTGTCTGCTTTCTTTAAACAAAAACAACAAAAAAACGGTACAATGTATATTCTTTAAACAACACCAAAGCCTTAGATCCTCACACACAGATACATCTTCCTAAATGCTTCTTTATTTAAAAGCTGAAATGTGCAAAAAAGGCTGAGCTGTGTACTGCAATTGTCACCTAGCAGAGCAGACTGTCACCTCAAAGGAACTAAAAAAGGGATTTTCAGACACAAAAGGGTGAAAAGATCTTCAGTAATATAAGGATTTGGAAAAGTATTAGATGTTTCTTATTTTTACATTTAAAAAGGAAAAACTATTTTTCTACACCGGATGTAGAAAGATTATGCATACATAGGAATATGAGAGGATCTGTGAAACAGCTAAGCCCTGTTGTTTGGCTAAAGAAAGCTGGGAATATCACCCAATATATTCAAAGAATTCTATTTCAGGATTGTTAAACATATTGAACACGTATCACCTTGTCTTATGGAGCTAATCAATGAGATTCAACTCTGGTTTTGTGGTCTTTCGATTGAATTTTTCGATGAAGAGAGAAAGTGAGTGTCACGTTAGTCACCAAATTGTCTGCGCTTTGAAGTTTCCGGATCAAACACAGAAGTGCTATTGATGCTCAGCTGTATGACTCCACACTTTTGTCATCCTCTGCAGGGCTCACTCACATTGACCTGGACCATGAGCAATGATCTGCCTGTTCTGACAAGTCTGACTGAGAACTCCACTGTGAGTAATGCATGAATCCCTCCCTCTCTTTTAACACCATCCACACGTACCGTCCACACCTTGTAGTCTGGTTTATGACGGCTGTGCTGGAAGACTCTCCAACAAAAATGGGAACCGGGATTGTTCAGATAACAGCACAATGTTCCAGTTATAAGAGTCAGTGACAAAGAGGTGACGGAAAACAACGTGATCAGGAGTCAGAGAAAGGCTGATTTGATGAGAAAAGGAGCAAACATTTGTGCACCGCGAATCCTCTGGAGGATGAGGAGCTGGATGAGATGATCGGTCCGTTACATCTGTCTCTGTAGAGGGAGGAGTGCGTTGGAAACATGGCCTGCGGATCAGCGTGAGGCTCCGCTGCTCGGGCTGATTGATGGTGCTGCTCTTCTTGTTTGGCTGAGCTTGTAAAAACAGCAGATTTCTTAAAGTCACAAACGCTCCGATGCTCATGCACATGTCAGAGCGTCTGCATCAGACAAACGCATAAATACAGCCTCCCAGATCTACTCCCGGTCTCAAAAGGCTCCAGCTGACTGTAGGTTCCTGCAACATCTCCGAATAGGAAAGATATTTTATCTCTGTATGACGAGGTGTTCAATTTAACACATTCAGACCTGAAGCGTGTTTGAAGCAGTCTGTAATATTGTTTTTTTTATTTGTGTGAAAACACTCATTGTCTGGCTTTATAAGAAGAAAATGACACCCCATTCTACTCAGCAGATCCCATCCTCTGGTTGGTTTAAGCGTGCGATTGGAGCTGACACAGATTGATTGATGTTACTAAGTTGGTGGCTGTACGGATGATGCTTTTGATGAGCTACCATGAGTCACCATCCTAGCTCACTGGCCTCGCTACAGTCGCAAGACAGGCAGTAAAAGCTCCGGCATTCGTTCTGGTCTTTGTAGCTCCAATTAAAAATCATTATCAAAAAGTTGGTTTGCGCTCTCGGGAGTGCCTCTGCACTTTGACTCCAGCTTTGAAGCCTTTTGTGGAGATCCTCATTAACATCTTCATAACATTGAACCCAGCTGACGAATATTCCATTTGTGGCGGTGTAAAGAGCCCAATTATTTTCCCACTCTGTTCTGACACGGGCATCGGGAAGAGGAGCCAGGAAAGTCTTGTGTGGGGACTGCTCGTGTGCGTCGGTATCCTCCTCCTCCTCCCTTTTCCATTTTTAGCCTGCGGAGGCCTCGTTTCCCTCTCATTGAGAAGAGCTGGGAAATTGAATTAGGAGTCTCGATGACGTTTCGATTAGCATCCCCAGCCTCACTCAGCCAAGACTGAGACTATTTATCAGGAGAGAGCAGTCGTACTTGTCGATGCGGCCGTGTGAGTGAGCAGACAGGACGCAAATGAGTGTGCATCTGGGTGAAAATCACCACGGGGATGAAGGGACTTTAGAAAGTGTTTGAGTGTTAATTCCACTCATTAAATATTACAGCGCTTAGCTATCAGTGTAATGCCACAAAGAGATTCCTTACAGTTCATTGCAAAGCTCAGAGATACAGAGACAGAGAGGGGGGGAAATCAGTCCTAGCAGAATTAAATGCAGCCACAATGATCACGGCAGCAAAAAACAACAACTGAGATGCGCACATTTTTGGACCATGTGAAAAGAAGCGATGGAAAAGAAAAGAATCCTCCGCTCTCACCATCTTGTCTTTACTCCGTCAGCCAGTGGTTGAGTGTACATTATCTTTGATTTGATGCTGGGAATAAAGGGTTGGCAGCCTGTTTGGTTGTTTAACGTCACTGTTTTCTAAAAAAAAAAACTGCAGGTCAGAAAAAGGAAACCAGGGCTCTGTCCCATCCCACGCACAGCTGGTAACAGGATTACAATGTGTCATTTGGTAAAAGCTCTACTCTGAGAGACACAAGCGCTTATTGTGCAGATGGACCAGAAGTCCAGTCACTCCAGCGTTCAGTTAACCTGCATTTAAAGATTTTAACCTATGACAGCGCCTTCGGGCATTTAAAAAAAAGTGATATAGTGATGACATGAACAGACCATCCCAGAGAGGACGTGTAAAAGAAGAAAATTTCTTACCTTAGAGAGGACAAGCAGTAAAATTGGAAGCAATTTCTGAATTTGTCATCAACAGTTAATGTTATTGTCCTCAGAGAGCCTGGAGATGTTTTATATTACAAACTATTAGGTCCTGATCTTAAGACCTCGCTCTGATTAGACCTGATCTAATGAATCACAATTGGGAATTCCTTGGGAAACTTATAAGTAACTTATCCTTCAAACCAAAGATGAGAGGATCCACTAATCTGTTAATCAGTACGTGGCTGAAAAGAGCAAACAGAACTAACATGAAGACACCGTCATGCTGAATTATCTCCTGCATATTGCTTTTTTTGAGCAATAAATGCAGCTTTCCAGATAGGCTGAGTTTTGCCGGTGTGGCTGGTGCAGCAACACAAAGATCACATCTCTCACTAAGATGCGAGAGCTTCAACCGAATCTTCTCTCACACCCTCAGGATGTGCCCGTGTCAGCTGGCCAGGTGGAGAACTATGTGCTGCTTTTGGTGCTCCTGAGTGTTTTTGCCGGGGGGACGCTGGTCCTGCTCTCCCTGCTGCTGCTCTTCTGTCACCGCTGCTGTTTAGGTGGACGCCGGTATTCCAGGTGTGTGCTTGCCGAGGTTTGCATAGAGAAACCCGGGGATAGCAGGGGACAGTGGAATTCCGACTGAGGGGAAATGGGAAACCCCCACGACCCCCGTTGGGAATAAGCGGTACAGGAAATGGAAGGATGGAAATGGGATTTGGAAAGCTGTGATGAGCAGAACGAGTATAAATTATTTCTTATTTTCAGAGCAAGCGATGACCCTGAGAAGACAAACACAACTTATGCCGAGGATTCTCAGCCCACACAAGGTCAGAACAGTTTTTCACGAGTTCACGTACATATTCTGGTTCAGTATCATTTCTATCTCAATTTTTTTTCTCCCTCTGTTGATTTGTCCTTGTCATCTTTGTGGCTCAGAAATCACAATTCGTCTGGATGAATCAGACGCTCTCTCAGCTTCTAGCTGCCATGATGGCGAGTCGGAACGATTCGTTTCCACCGGGTCCACTGGACGAAGAGTCTCCTTCAACGAATCTGCACTTTACGAACAGGAGAAAATGACTCAGGACAAAGGGCGAAGGTGCAGTTTCAAAAGTGTCGTGGTAATTTTTTTCATCTTTTGTCTGACAAGTTTTAAGGATTCTGATAAGGAGGTTTTGGTCTCAGGTACACTCTGACTGAAGGAGACTTCCACCACCTGAAAAAGGCCCGGCTGACCCACCTTCACCTGGCTCCAGCACCATGTGACTTGAAAATACTCACCATCATGGAGTGTGATTCGACAGAGAGCAGCACCATCAACATCAGTGAGACTGTAGCATCCAAGCTGCCTCTCACCATCTACCAGGTAGCATGACAATTTGAAATTCAAATCAGAAATCTGGTGCTTAAGCCTGAAAAAAAAGGCTCAATTTCCATCTCCAGCCTGCTGAGAGAAGAGTCCCTGAATGGATGGGACAGAGTCTGAGTGGTGGGCTTCCAGGAGACCCACATCACTCCATTGTCCAAGAGCATGGATGCAGGCAGTCCTCATCAGCTTTAAAAACACAGCACACACGGTCGCAGACAGTAAGTCTGGCCTTCTTTTATCCTCGGATTGTGATTTACATTTCTGTCTTCATGTCATTTTCATTTACAAGCCACACAAGATAGCTTTGAATTATGTGCTACATTATCATCCCTTGTTTTTTAGGTGAAAATGGCACAAAAGTGGAAAAAACACAAGGAAAAAAATAAAACGACTATAAAAAAGCTAAAGAGATAGACATTTGATAAAATGCAACACCATTAGAATACAATCCAGGAAGTTGAGGCAGCATCAACCTCTAGTTTTCCAGACCTTTGTCAAATAACATTGCAGGTTGAATTGTGTTAAAAGAATTGGGGATGTCAGAGAACGTGATCCTCGCAGCACAGGGAACCTTTTCCAGAAGAGAGAGGGCTCACTGAAACAGCGAGATGTTGGAACTATCAACATTGACCTCTAGATGAGTTAACTGCAGTAACTCCGAAAGGTGTTGATCACTTCGTAAATCTTTAACAATCAGTACTTTACCGACATGGGATGTGAGGATAACTGGCCTGTGAATGGTACAGACACTCAGATTTCTCATAGCCGATCTTTTCCCTCCATGGCTCATGTTAAAAGACTCCTGAATGCTTGATTAACTGCAGAAAGTGCTCCCACCTGCTAATCAATTAATAATGTTTAACTGATAAGCAACATGGCAAGATGACGATGGTTGCTAAACTCTTAGAACAAAGACAGTGTGCTCTCTTTTGTGTGAGCGTTTTTGGGCTTTTTAAAAATTTTTTTTTCTTTTGCTTGTTTGGAGGTTTCGTTTCCATATAGGCCTACCACCTGATGTTTCTGCAGAAATTGAAATAGTCATTTTGATAAAATGTTGGTTCTGTACTTTCTCAAAAATGAGTAGTTTGTCTAGATTTATGCCATTTAGCCAGTAAAGCATTTGCACAGGTAAGTTCTGTGGTGCAGATGAATCCTTTTGGATCATTCGGGAGCGGTGAGCAGCAGCTGCCACCGGCTGCGACATCACTCATTGCTGGAACTGAGTGATAAAATGACAAACGGCTGTCCCCCCGGGGGCTCTGGCTCTGCTCGTCACGATTCATCTCAGCGTGTCTCCTTCCTTAATGTGCCATCACTTCCTTCCATCCATCCTTTCTCAACCCTCGATCTCCTCTGTCAGGTGGAGGCTCTCGGGGACAGGGGGGAGGCTGAGAGTGAAAGGGGACTCAGAGGGGAACCCGTACAGGCTCAGGCCCAAACATCGGTCCTGCATTTCTTCTCTAAACTGCGACGGCATGCCAGCCTAGAGGGGGCTGGGCCCTACTTCAAAAGGTGGAAGTTTGATACGAGTCACCGCGCTGCTAGCCTGGACGCCAAAGGTTTGTTCAGATCCCGTGAGTCAGCGAGTGTTTAAATGCTTAGCTTGGAAAATAACGAGTAGGTCCGTATGAATTCCCGTCAGGGTCCCCGAGGAGGAGGCCCTTTCAGAGACAGAGAGCAGCGAGTGAAACCACAGACCACACTGAAGACGACTCCTCTCCTCTCCCTGATGATGCCTTTGAGTCTTTCCCGCACACTCCCGTCCTGACCGGTGGCCTTCAGTCCCTCTCGGCAGAGTCTCTCTCTCGCCCTGCAGCTGCATCCACATCTTCAGTCTTCCTCAGGAGGTAGATTCTCCGACCTTAACACCAACACTTACAGCATCTCACTTTCAGAACCACTCAGGTGAATTTCCCCCATAGTGGGACAGTAAAGGAAATTGTATCTTGACCAAAATGCTCTCCGTCTGTGTAGGCCAACATTACAGGCTATGGTGGAGATGGGTGGTAGCATCAACTCCAAGAAGGAGGAAGTCCGTGTACCATCGGATTCCACTCAAGGGCAGGACGAGGCTACGGTCAATGGCACAGGAGGGGAGACGGAGACGATGTTCGGATCGGTGGCGGGAGACGGGCCAGAACGGGCTCACGACCCGTTTGGGGCAGACCAAGAAGCCGCCGCTCAGGAAAGGTTTGAGGACATGTTGAACGAGACCACAGGCACAAAGACGGACGGAGGAACGACGTTGGCGAGGAAAACCAACGAAGCAGAGGAGGATGATGGAGACGAATCGGAGCTGGGGTTCGAAGCCAGAAAGAGGACGGACTCGGGTTCCTCTCTGTCCTTCATGACGCGTCAGGAGAGCTCGGAGGCCCCTCCCTCCCTGTACAGAGACATCTGGAGCCTACGGGCCTCCCTGGAGCAGTACGCCTCCTCGGACCAGAGCAGCACGGACAGGGAGTCCATCCGCAGCGACGCCGACAGTGTCTCGTCCGTGGGCGGCGGAGGGGCTCGCTCCGCCCTGGACAGCTGCCTGTCGCAAGACCTGGACGACGAGCCCGAGGGAGAGGCGGGCGGGGACGGGTCGGAGGCCGGGGCGAGGGGGGCCTCGGGCGTGGACAGCGAGGCGGGGGGTGGAGCCGGAGGAGAGGGGGAGGGAGGAAACAGGAAGCTTCTCCAAATGGACAGCGGCTACGCCTCCATCGAAGCGCCGACCAGGGCCCCCGAGGACATGCGGCTCTTCGGGACCCCCGGGGCGCCTCGGGGAAAGACGGCCTCTGAGAGGAGGCTGTTCTTCACCAGCTCCGGAAGGAAAGGCTCAGTGTGCGAGAGCGTCGACGCCCGGCTGTTTCAGGAAGAACTGGAGGACCAGATGGCGGATGGCGCCGAGACGGCCGACAAACTGAAGCAGAAGCCTCGAAGCGGCGGCCTGTTTCACACCCTTCAAGAACCGCATCAGCTCCTGAAGTCCCTCAGCCCTCAGAAAGTGCTGGATCATCAGCCTCTGGCCTCTCCGCTGATGAAAGCGGGCACCCAGCCCCCCAGTCCTCACCGGCCTCGTCTGCGCCGCCGCGACTACAGCATCGACGAAAAGACGGACGCTCTCTTTAACGAGTTCCTCCGCCACGACCCGCGCTTCGACCAGCAGGACTCTCCGCTGCGCTCCAGGCACAGATCCAGGATCCACCTCCGGAAACAGTGGCAGAGACACAAGCAATACAGCGACCCCGGGTCAGCCTCCGGGGGGAGGTACTCTCCGTCTTTGGAGAGGCAGAGGTTTAGTCCACTGAAGAGGGGGGACAGCGCCGGATACCCCCTGGACACCAGGTATCACAGCACCCTCTCGCGCATAGCCAGCGCTGCGGATGAAGAGGCCAGCGAGGTCGCGGCCTCTGAGGAGGCGGCCAAAGAGAGAGCGGAGGGAGAGGGCCGATCTGGCGAAGGAGCTGCGGGGAACGCCACGGCGAGGGCCACCGTCGAAACCTGCGAGGGAGGCGATCTAACGGCGAGCGCCGGTAACGCGGACAGCTGCCCGGAAGACCCACAAAGCACAACCGGTCAGCCTGCTAGCCACATGGATCCAAGGGTGGACAATAGGAACAACAACAGCAGTCAGGCCATCCTGTCCGAGGTCTCTCTGCGTGCCGAGAGCAGCCTGACCGACAAGCTGGCGGCGTCGGTGGAGGAGAGGCTCTACGCCGGCCTGAGGAGTGCAGAGAAGCCGGAACGGGGAGGATCAGACTGCGCGGTGACCGTGTCTCGCACGGCCTCACCAGGGTTCAGTCCCATATAACTCTCCCCCCCATTTAGATCCTCCATCTACAGACCGAACTGGAGCAGAAGGCCCGCAGCAATTCAGCATGTCACGTGTTCAATACTGCATCCGATGTCCAGCCCACTCCCACATACCCCCTCAGACCCGAGCTGCCACTGTGACGCCATGTGGCATGTGATGCCCCTTTCTATCAGTACTCCTTAAAACTCAAAATGGACTCCTCGCCTAGTTTTGAAGATGTGGGCCGTCATTAAAAACGGAAAAAAAACAAAAGCATTTTTAGCATGTCAGTGTAGGTCCTAACAATGTGTATGTGAATTGTGTACAGTTTGAACTTGAAAACAAAAAGCACTTTGATGGGAAGAAAGATAATGGTGGTGTTTTGTCATCCATTTCTCTCATTCTACATCCCTGCCTTCCTCAAGTGTCCTTGTCTCAGTCATTTTGAGAATACAATGTGTTTGGGAGCTGTTGTCTTTCATTTAGCAATATAAAGAGCAATGCTTAAGTGTTTAGCCCTGTCCTTCATTAACACTGTATCAGCTGGTCGGGATACGGCGCGCTTTTGCTGGGAACAGCAAAATGGCTGTGGGAATGTGGATATTTAGCGTTTGTGTGCAGCTATTTCAACCATACGTATCAGGATTAAGGTGGTGGTTTCCAGGAGCTTCCGTGAACTTCAGTGGAGTGCCGCTGGGACTCAGCTGACGCAGATAGATGATGCTTAAAGTGACCAACAAATGATCCTCAGGCGCACACCGTTGGCCCAATGACAAAGAGATGATGCTCCGACATGGTGGAGATGAAACTTACTGGAGACGACATCAGTCTTTTTCCAGCAGAAACGGATAAATCATGTCTTACCAAATAGAAGAACAAAGATTTTTTTTTATTTTTTCTTGTCCACAAATCCCCTGAAAAGACTAAAAACAACACTGAACTGTCCCTGGTGAGACGTGTAGCCAAAGTGCGATAAAGCTAACACTTTCCAGTCTAAGGCTTTTTGTTCAGCTGCAGACAAGTGAGGCCAATTTTTTTTGAGGGTGCAAGTCATTTAATTTTAACAGTGACATTTACTTCTGTTTAATCCTGCACATATCTCCATAAATATCAACCTGAGCACCAAATGTGTGTTAAATCTTTTCTGATGTGTTTCTCACACTGAATCACAAAAGCCTGGTTTTATATTTTCAGAAATGAAATCAATTTTCACAGCCTTTTTCACAAGAGATTTTCACTCCAATTTGTTAAAAACATATATCTATTTCTACTTAAACAGTCTGATGGGTTCTTTTTTACCCCCTTTGTTAAATTCAAATTCATTCCAAGAGGTGCCTAACTGCACAGCAAAAAGCTATAAATAAGTCAAGGGTTTTAAATCACCCATGGGTCTCAAAACAAAGTAAAATTACAAGAATAGACAAATACAAAGAAAAAAGGTCTGACTGGCTAAAATGTAGTCATTTGAAAAACAGAGGCACTGGGACTTCTGAACACAGGATTAAAAGGGGGCAAAAGAACAGCTGACCTCACCGTTTTGTACCCTTCAGGTTACATATTGGCAAGGAGCTTACTTAGATGGTTTTCTTTCCTCTCCACAGAAATAGTACGGTCTTATTCAGAGAAACTGTGGTCTGAGAACAAAAGATACAAACTATTTCCAGTAAAGCTCTAAAAGGCAGAGGATCCATTTGCTTTTCAAGTTTCGGTGCCTAATGTTTAAATCATGAGGGGGTTGTCATCAGGGATGACCCTGTAGACTCAGCAATCCACCTTTATTTAATACTCAGATACTTCTATGTTGAGCTACTGTGTGCTTAAAGATTTTGTACCCTTGTTCTAATTGTGTAGCAGCAACCGTTTCATCTTAAAGAGCACAGAGATTATGGATTTATTGCAACCTTGACTGAAGCAAGCCCTTGTGGAACCAACTTTTTTTTTTTTTTTTCTTCTTTCTTACTGCTGTAGTGTGACTCATGTAAGCTGATGTACTGTGAAAATGTTGAAACGGCATCATCACCGCAACGAGAACCGGAACCTGAAGTGTGTCCTCACATACTAATGATAATGCCGAAATGTTCCTCGGCCTGTCAAATGGATGCATCAGTCCATCCTCTCCACACCGTTCTTTGTGCGAACAGACGGATTCCGTGTCGACCTCGCTGACGTGGAAAGCTTCTCTCCCTCCTTCCCCCCCTCCCTCTCTCCCTCCCTCACAGCTGTGACTCACCTGCTCTCTGATCTGTTCCCAGCGAGGAGCCGATGAGTGGCCTGGCTGTGTAAGAGCAGGGCAGGGCTTTCGCTGATGGGATCGGCGCAACAAAGCATCATTAGGAGAAAAAAAAAGGGGGGGGGAGTGGGCAATTTGCAGGGCTCGCCGCCTGCCACTGAGAGACGCTGGGGCCGAGGACAAAATGGTTGCAGAGAGGAACAGACGATATACTTCAATCAGTAAAATCTCAAAGTGTGAGTAAAATAAGAAAATAACAAAAGAATGGACATAAACCATTGTGCTGTATTGTGAAAATATGCTCAACTAAAATGAAACAAAGGATAATCCAACAAATAGCCTGTTTGGGACAATTTTTATATAAATAATAATTTAAAAAAATATTCTTTGGAAAAATAAAGATAAGACCTAGATGAAAAAGAAGAAAGAAAGAAAAGAGATCACATCCTAAAAAGGTCAGCGGTGGACATCAGGGCTTCAGTTTGCCCACACCAAGCAATTTCCCCTACTTCATTCTCTGTACAGCATGCAGTTTTTATGTTGGTAGTAGTACTAAAATAATAACCCATAAAAGATTTAAATATAGAATTATTCCAAAGTGTTGTTTTTTTTTCCTCTTTAATTTTTTACACATCACAATGTGTATTAAAAACTGCCATTAGGATTCTGTAAAAACAAATGTAATCAAAGAAACAGAAGTTGGTGGGGAGGGGGTGGATGGGCAGGAACTGGGAGATGGTGCCTGTAATGTCCATAGCAACACTTGACCCTCTGATGGATGACAGAATGGGGGGGGTTACTGGATGACAAGCTGAAAGGATCCAAAATATTGGTGAAAAGAAACAGCATCTTCGTGGCAAGTGCCTCAGTCTCAGAGCTAAAAGAACATTTCATGCTGTCCTCCTCCCGATCACTTGCACCTCGTCTTCGAATATTCTGCAGGCCAGTGGTCTAAGGAGGTGTGGGGACATTAATGTCAGCAGGTTTCTCTCGCAACCGTGACAATTCCAGACACTGATGGACAAGGGCAGATCAACCTAAAAGGGACAGAGTAAACAGAATAAAAACAGATGTCTGGAGGAACCTACATTGTGTTTCTATCTAGACATGGCCACAAGCCTGTCTGCCAGAGATATAAAAACCCCAAACTGTTCAGGATGACAGCATCTTCTGACAGCACTAGCTCCTGCTGCTGAAACAGATAGTCAACCCACAGAACGGGAGAGAGAGAGAGAGACAAACATCCCACAACCTACTTTTTATTTAAGCCGAGGGGTGAGTCATCCCCTGAGCAAGTGAATATCGAGCATCTCTTCTGCACTGCACCCATGACAAACAGCCGTGTTGCGAGTGCTGCGTATGAGTGCACGGCAGAAAGAGCAGCTGTGGGTGGTAACTCGTGGAAGAGGACCGTTCAATTTCTGCGCATTTTTGCAACAAATATCTGCAACCCTTTATCTGAACAAAGACCAGTGAAAGATTGAAAAGATCACATTTGGATGGATCTTGATATAGAGAAAAAAAAAAGTTCATCCAGACTCATCCAGGGCCTTTTTTTCTGAGTGTGTAAGAAAACGCCTCAGTTTTCTTGTGTAGGGGATGTGAGTCAGAGCACTGCACCCTGCATATCAACAGAGTTTTACTCTCTTTTTTACTCTACCTCCTCCTTCTCCTCCTCTCCACACCTATCTCTGTTCTAAAACATTCTCATCCAATTCTTTTTCTCCAACCTGAAACTGCAGTACCACCCCCCCCCGCTTCACAGTCTGTTCATGTATCGACTATTTAAAATGCGTCCTTCTTTAATGCACATTCAGTTCCAGCTTTTGAAGCGTCGACACACTCACCAGGTACGTTGTTGCTGTGGGAGACAGAGGAGGAGAAGGACGTCATTGCTGTTTGCAGGTGGAGAGCTTTCGGATTTTGCTGGCTGTGGAGACTCCTTTGCGTGAGGGGTTGGACGAGGAGGAGGATCTGCGTTCTGCCTTGGCCTTGCTGTTCAGAGACCCCCCTTCTGTCCCGTTCACACAAACTGGCTTAGCTACGGCTGGACTGTGGTCTGCATTCCCCTGATCGTAATCCTCTTCGACCACTTGCCCTAAAGACACACACACACTTTACATTCAAGACATATTTGTGTTGCTTTTCTGGCCCAGTGTATTAACATTTTGAACTGGCATATTGAGTGGGTGGAAATCATCAGAAACTGTAAACATGCTTTTTTTTCAGACCACTAAAAGGGTAATCAACTTGCAGTACCAGGAGAATGTCAGGTCACATAACTGCACTGTTCAGGTGAGAAACAGTAACCCACAACAACTGGATATCCATCAGGGGAAACATAAGGTCTTACCTGACAGATGTGCGTGTGTGTGTGTGTGTGTGTCTGACGTTAGCAGCAGTGACATGTGGGTACTGCTGAAGCGAAACACCAGGTCATCTGCTTTTGGAACAATTTTTTCCATTCATATGTAATGTCTTATGAAGACAATGCCCTGCGTGTGGGAGTGAAGATTGGAAAACCATTCATACTCCCACACCCAAACCCTTTCAACTGGATTATTTTTAGACGGCTTCATTCACATTCTGCAGCCCTGTTTGGTTTTTATGTGGGGCACCACTTCTAGATACCCAACACTGACTGCCGCATGTACTATTACTGGCTGTTGCCTAGCAACAGATAAAGGATCTGAATTCTAGTGAGAAATATGATAAAAGGAGAGTTGGCAAACATGTTAAATAAAATAGAGAAGACTATGCTAATATCTATTCATCCCGGCATCTTGATATGGTAACATGCAGTTTGCTTTACATATTTGAAATCCCCCAGCCCACATCCCAGTTTGGTTTGACAAACCATTTCAACTTATGACTCTCAGATTAAATCACAATTAGTTTGCTTGTCACTCAAAACAGAGATACCTCCACAAGCTCAAACTTTCTTTCTTCTAGTACTACAAATGTGAATTTGACTGGCATTCAACAAATGTAGATCTCCTTTCAATGGAAACTAGAACATAAATAAAGAAATGAAATAAAAAGAGAGGGAGAGACTGCACCTTTAACATGTTCTTAATACATAGCCAACCTCATCCTCTTATTGCATTTCCTTTTTTGGCTGAGGTGTATTTTCTTCTGAAGTCTACTGACAGCTGCAGTGCAGCGTTTTCAAAACCTGGACCGGTCCAACATATGACTTGCAAAGATGTTGCAGCAAAATGAGTTGTGTCAGTGCCAGCACTTCACTGAGAGGTAATTCTGCTAAGCCGTTTTGGAGGTGCTGGGTTTTTACCCTGCCACTCCTGTGGTGTTGTGATGGGGAGCCTTTCCCCGTTTTCTTACCCACACTGCACTATAACTGCGAGACATATCAGAGTACTTAGTGGGACACTGGTTTGGATTTCCATCGCTTATTTTTTCTGAATTTGCACCATGTTTCGTCTTTTAATCTTTTCCCTCGAGGGATTTATAGACAGAGGTATAGATAAGTGCTGTTATGCAAGATCCGGAAATAACTTGCACAGTTAAAAACAACGTTTTCTTAGAGACACCAGAAAAATGAGAATGTTTGTTGAAAATAATCTTAAAATGTCTAGTCAAAGTCTATGTCTATGTTCGTTCAGATCAAATAAAACCAATAATTTGGCTTTCAATTAAGAGGAGCCATCTAAATTCTGACGGAGCTGCAGTCCATCTCACACTCCTACCTGGCACTGTGAAGTCCTGAGTGTATATGATTTCATCCTCTCCATCATAGAGGTCGTCATCATCATCCTCTGCATAGCCGTGCAAATCTTCCAGGTAGGGCACCACTGTCATACTCCGCCAAGGGTCCCTGTTTTCTGCGTTGGCAGGGATTGGTACAGGGGGCTCTGATGGAGGGTGTTTCTTCCTCACCCAGCTGGCAAAGTTTGGCAAAGTTGGTTTAGGGAAGAGATGAATTACAGATCAATACTTTGTAAAGTGGATGTTTCCTTTAGTTTCTAACAGATATGCATATCAAGTTTCTTACTTGTGTTGCCTTATGTTTTGTATGGAAAACCTCTTTGCAGGATCATACTCAAGCATTCCTGAAAAAAACAAAAAAACAAACATCACAAAGCCTGATTTGACAACACTATCCTGAAGATTTTCCACTGAGAGTTTAGCAAAGCGGTTGGGGCAGAGCATTGAGGAGAAGGCTACCGGAAGACGGATGACAAAGCTTTCCAAGGAACATCCATTAACACCAATAATAATCTCATTCATCACTGTGTCAACGCACCCAGCGTAGCTTTATGGAGTTATTCATTTTCCATAAGAAAGCATCAATATGAGCGGTGGAACAGCTGTACCAATGTAATGAGGATTTCGTGGCTTAATTATAATAATGTAGGATGCGTCTCTGGGAAAAGCAGAAAGTCAGTGTGTCAGGGCAGAAGTGATGTGGTGCCCATCACAATTATGTAATTGTCCCCTACCAGGCAGAAAAGGGCAGAAGGCAGAGAGCTGATAGTAGTGCAGCGCCTGCTGAAGGACACCTTTTGTAGCGCCAGGCTTATTTTAGACCATGTAATTATGGACTGACTATCTCTCAGGTGCTGCGTCATCACAGACAGACGTCACACACTCAGAAAATAAGGGACAGAGGCCCAATGTGTGCCTGTGGATGATTTTTCACTCAATAAAACTAGCATTTACATCTAAACATTTATCTTACAAAGACAAAGAAGCCGTCTGGTGTCAATGCAAAATTTAACCCAACATCCCCAGAATTCAGAATTCATATGTGGTGGAATTACCAGCCCTTAGAAAAGGAGAGAAAAAGAGTACTTGGAATGCAGGATTCATGGAAACGTTTCATTCTTTGGTTCATGGATAATCCTCATAATACTCTTTTTGGAATGCAACTTTCAGCCGGGTTGCTTAAAAACCCAACATTTACTACACAGCATGTCTCTTCACTTGTCCCCGTTTTATAAGAGGAGCAGCATTGCAGCATTCAATTCATAAGAAGCACTTCGACTATGAAGTCTTAAGCATTCTGCTGCTGGCACTAGATCAATGGAAACCACGTCTACAGCAGAAGGGATTTCTACATGTTGGAGACGGCTTGAATGCTGAGAAGCCGGAGTGACTCTCAATGCCGCAGCACCCCCTTCTGGATCCAGAGAAGACAGCCAGCATTTGTGTCTTACTACATTTACTGAATGCCAAAGGAGTCGTTTCATCAAACATTCCATTTCTGTGCCATCACATGAATTAGATTTTTTTAAATAAGTCAACAAAAAGAATAAATGGGTTACTTAAATAATATATACATAACCTACTTTTAGTTTCACCACAATTATGTTCAAAAGCAAAATGCATCAGACTTTTTACGCTTGACCCTGTTCTGCGTATGAAGCAGTGACATGCACACATGCAGAGAAAACAGGTAAAACAGTGATTTGAAGTGACTGCCTTGCTTCTATAGTTTTCACACCCACATGCTGATTTTACTGCTTGGTATCTACACCATCTGTCCCTAATCTTCCTGAGCACAGTAAAATTACACAAAATAAGCTAAAATAAAAACAGCAAAAGGCCTTCCTCTCAAGACACGCACCACCACACATTGTTTGAGGGCAGATGAGGAATATTCAGAATAAGTCTCTTAAGCTCTTTTTAATTAGTTTTCTGCTCAATCTGCAAGAATTTACTGAGTCCTTACCTCGCAGCAGGTCCGACAGAAGAGGCCCACATTCCTCAGGAATCGTGTAGTCTCCTTTTCCAATGTTCTCAAATAGCTTATAGATATTATCTCCCTCAAACGGATAAAGACTTGTTGTAATGTTGTATCTGTTCAGAAAAACTGAAGGTCAATAAAAGCAGGGGAGGCTGCAAGGGGAGAACAGTGTAAAGGCTGAGATTGTAACTCACAGTGTTACTCCAGCAGACCAAATGTCCACTTTAAACCCTGAAAAGGTGTCCAGTCCATTAGCAATCTCTGGGGGCTGGAAGGCCGGCGAGCCCTGACTGGTGCGACATGTGTCATCCTCTGCAAATGGATGAAGGGCCTGCAAAATTTATCACATACACAAGAAAAAAAAAAAGAGTTTTTACACAAAAGAGATTTGGGAACATTTGACCTTAAAAGCATTTGGGTACATGTGAGCCACAAGAGATACAACAAAAATCACAACCACTACTTCAAATTAGCAGAAATGAATAGAAGTTGGATTTGTTGAAATCCAATGATAACAGTAGCATTCAGTCTGTGTTCACCTCTGCTACTCCCAGGTCCGAGATTTTCAGTGCCCCGTTTGTGGTCAGCAGCAGATTCCCTGGTTTAATGTCTTTGTGAACAATTCCCTGGCTGTGCAAATATTCAAGGCCATCAATGAGTTGGCAAAAGTACCTGCAAAGAGCAACGTCATAGAAATAGAGGGCAATTTACACAAAGCATTAACAATTAGCACATCACAGAATTCATGCCTGCGGTCAGAAAGAGCCTCATCAGTCATTACTTCGACTTTTTTCCAGCAGGACCCAAACATTCACACTTTCTCTGCTCAGTTATTTTAACACTAGAGGCTCTGCAGTTTCAGAGCTAAACTTAGGCCTGGAGAGACGACTGCAAAAAGGGTCAGACTAATTATAACACAGGGGCTTAGAGAAAGAGAGACTGTAGTGAGGAGGGGAGGGGGGGAAACTTACCCGTGAGCTTGAAATACTGGAAACCTTTTCTCTGGGACACTGTCCAGCATTTCTTGCATCCCACAAACGCAATACTCCATCACCATATACGTAACTCAGGAGTCAAAGAATTTCTCAAATCAAACAAATGTACTTTGATAAATAGAACCCGTTATAATCAATGTAAATAAACAAAAACGTGACCATGCCTCAACAACAGCACTTAAACCTCCATCCTTATGGCTTATTCTGCAGCGAAAGGATATATTTTCTGCTTCTCTTCATTATAGAGCACATCCACTAACTGAATCACATTCTTGTGTTGGAGTCTTCTTAGCAGCTGAATCTCCCTATAGACGGAAGAAAGGTGACAAAACATGGAAAATATAATTAAAAATGTTCTGCAGTGAATGTATACAACAGACTTACAATACAATGGCCCTCAGGCACCATGCCCCTATATAATAATAATAATAAAGTGTATTATTGGTTTTAGATCTCCAAATTTAAGAACGGCCTTTGAGCCATGAAGAGAGCAGTTTACAGAAGTAATCTGTGAATGTTGAAGTTCTGCCTTATTTTGTTATGGGGTTGTTTTTTTGGGTGGGGTGGGGGTTAATATAGCCAAGTGGTCAAGCATGGTAGAAGTCAATTACATGAGTTTCATTATAAAGACAGATAGCCTGACACATCACTTTGCTACCCCAGGAGACAAAGTTTAAATCACCAGCATGGAAAAACCCCTTGAGACTCAACATTCATCAGAGAGCTGTGACTGGTGAAGCTAATGAATCTAGAAGGGAAGAGCAGCGAGTATGAACTACATCCTCCAAGCGTACTGCCAACATTATATCACAAAAATATATGACCATTTTGTTTGATAATAAGGCCACACAGAAACTTTTCACTAATCCTAATTAACGAGATGACACAACTGTGAATCTTTTATCTCTGCATGCCAGGCAGACTACTGCGTGCCAAACTGCAGTACAAGAATCAAAGCATCAATGTGAAGTGGATAATTAAGAGGAACAAGATTTTTTAGATGTCATACACATTATAACAGTATATTTCATAAATATTTTTAGCTAAATGTTTATGATTTATACAACACTATTTGAGCTTTGTTCTTCTTTTGATTACCATGGCTCCAAATGCTCACAGCGCAGTTACGTTTTTAACTTGTCATAGAGATTGCGCATCTAGCAAGAACAAAGCTAGAGGTGTCAGTAACAAGCTCAGCTCTTTGTAGGAACGTTTCCATCACCTGCTCCTTCCACCAGAGCAATAAGGGAGATGTCTATGCCCAAAATAAAGGATAAGACCATGTGTATTTATCACCGTGCAGCTGAGTCCTTTGCCTTTAACACATACCACATCACATCAGAAAGCTGTCTCATGCACTTGTGAAATAAATATGATAAATAAACACATTAAGTTGCAATGGAAAACCACACCCGCTTTCCTTCTCACAAAATCATGAAACAGATGCTATGTCGACGCTTAAAGCACGATGACTGCTGCAGTCCTTCTGCAGTCTGACTTCGACAGTGTACTGAAGGACGTTGTGAGCTGGCGGCCCGCAGGCTGCAGAGCCGAGACGATTTCAACACTCAGCGATATGGAAGCAACTGTGGCCGTCAGCCTGCAACGTAAATAACCGATTCCACTCTGAAAGCTGCATGTGTGCACCGCAGCCATTCCAGACAGGTGTTCTTGGGTCCTTACCACAGATGCAGAGGTTGCATTGCTCAATCGATACTAGTATGAACATGCTCATCCTAACCGAAACACTGCAGAAGCAGGAAGTGTTTGGCAGACAGGAATGTTAACTCGCCGAGGAATAGATGGGGTTGATGGAACTTCTTTGGCACCCACTGAGATTCAGGCCTTTCCAAAGGCTATTTACAAAACTGTTCCAAATCTTTCAAGTCATTCAGGAATTATTGAGCAAATGCGATTCTTGGTGGAACAGCTATAGTCCTGTAGTCATGTATGCTTTTGTCTTTCAGTAAATGAACAACTTTGGTACAAAGTGCCCTTTCTGAAGGATTCTCCTGTATAATTTCTTAATTCTGTTACATTTTTAATATCGTGATTATGTAAGACGTTTAAAGAAAATAAATACGATGACCTTTCTCACAAGTTGCATGTTTCTTATCTACATCACAATCTTAGTGTACTACACACTAATGCTCTTAGTGAATTGTTGTAATGTTTGCAGATAGCATTAGCCAAACAAAGGTAGTCAGAGTAACATCAAGACTCGTTTAAGTCATGTCCTCCCAATCTCAAATCTACAGGGTTCGTAAAAGCACGGCAACCCTTGGATTTATTTGACCTTTTCTGGTAGGTTAACCCCCATCAATGTCTGAATGAGCCTGAGGGTAAACCGTGAAAGCACCTGACAGGAAGAGTCAGTGCAAGCCAGTTTGCTCAGCTTATCTGGATGTTTGCCTTCCACTCAATGTTGTGAACTCATCCATGCCCATGACATGTTAACAACAACAGAAAACCACAAAGCATTATGAACAAGTGAGGATCCTCACCTGTGAGGTAACATGTACTGTATACAAAACATTTAAATGTCTTCCTGTTTTCCTTTTGCATAACCTATTGCCTCCTGTGCCTGAAACCTGGTACCACTCTGAAGTGCCTCTGGTTGTCAGAATACATCTTATGTCAAGAATCTGTTGCTGTGTAGCTTGTAAAGACAGTTCAGCTACTTTGGTAACCGTGCATATAAACAGCACATAATGTGCCAAATGACTGTTCAGTTCTCCATGTTAAGAAACAAATATCCAAGTCAGAGCAGAAAAAGTACAACAGCTGCCAGGTCATTTTAGTCCCATCTTCCAGAAGAGATTTACTATTTATTAACGTATAATATGCTTCTCTTTCGATAAAAAAAACTTAATGAAAGGCTAGTATAGAAATCTAATGAGCCTTTTCTATTTTGGCTGAAAAACATCTTGCAGCTCCCTTTTTCCCTCTGAGTGAACCAACTGTGACAGTTTTCAGAGCTAAGTCTGTAATTAGCACAGGCCCACAGTGAAATGCTGGGCTGATATTTAAGAAAACTACTGTGATTAAAGCTTCTGATGCTCATCAGGAAATGGCTGGTGTAGAAAAATGTGCATTTTGTATATGACAGACAAGTCAAAGTTGTCAAAAATAATTGTGGTAGAAAATTCCTTTCTTTTCTAAGGTGACTGATATTATTAACAGCAGCCGTAAAGACATTTCTGTATATGGAATTGTATTGTAGACCAAAGGTAGAGGTTATTTCTTGTAATCTCTCAGTCGTATGTGGTGAAAGAATATTAGGCAAGCATGGACAACAAAAAAGTTTAAAAAATAAAACAAATATATACAAGTTATTAACAGATCAGAGGAGTCATTTTTACTGCTATGGATATTTAAAAGAAAATGATGTCCCGCTCTAAGAAAATATTTGCATTTTTAAAATCTAAATACTTTATCTGTCCTGACTAACTTACCAAGAACTGATTAAACAAGTGCATGTGTCTGAAAATATGTGAGGAGGGTTCCTATAATCTTGATGGTTAAGGACAGGTCAGGCTTCTTGGAAGTATTCCTAGCATGTCTGAAGCAATCTGACATCTCTGCTGGGTGTGATGAAGTTAAGAATTATGCGTTTAAAATCAAACTCAGAGTGAAACTTACTTATTCATTCAAACATTGTGGGACTTTTGATAGACAGATTAAATTGGTAAATAGTTAAACAAACTAAGAAGACTGGGATGCTGTTAATCTTATACTCCAACAGGAAAATTAAGCAAGGGGCGCTGATAAAAAGAATAGGACAAAGATAAATGGATCTTTCTCACTGTGGCATAGTCACAAGAAACCCCCTTCCGCTTCTTAATGCAAGGCAGTATTCATTACATTTTCAGTGTGGTGACTCAAATTAATCACCTTTAATGACCTCAAATTTTCAGGCAAATACTCAGGCAGTGCTACCACACCACAGTGCAGCTTCCCCTCTCCAGCTAATGACTGAGGAATTATAATGTCAGTTTAAATGACAAGAACTGAAACATGACTAAAAACTCAAACACAACTCACTTTTTCACATTGGCCTCTCCATTGGGAATTCTCCGAAGCTTCTTCTTCTTCAGTATCTTGACAGCCCTGCGACAAAGAGTCTCTGAGTCCAGCATTTCTTTCACTTTTCCATAGGATCCTTCCCCAAGCAGATCACCCATAAGGTACTTTCCTATCAGCTTTGCTCTCTTTCTCCGTGGCTGGTAGATCACCTCAGTAGAGTCAATGCGGTGAATAAAAGTGTCCATCTCCATCAGTTCATTTTCATTCAGGTAGCCAAGATGATGCAGATCCCTGGCACTCATGACTGATTGCACTAAAATGACAGCTTAAGCCTTTTGTGCAAGAGAAAAAAAACGTTTTGCCAGCTATGATTGCTTCTGGGGTTTAATCCTCTGCTCGTCTTTCAGCATGGAACCAAGTGCTACAATTTGACAAAATGAATTATAAAATACTGAAATTGGGACAGGGAGTAATGAAGCCTGAGAGTTGAGGGAGAAGGTTGGTGATAAATCTGAAATTTGTAAACATCAGGGCTCTTTTTGCTCAGGAGGAAAGAAAATAGCTGCAGAACTTGTTGGCCTCAGTGCTAATTTAGTGCTTTTTACTTTGCATTATGAACTCAGTAAATGAGTGCAGCCAAACAAAAATGTCAAGAATTGCTATTCTATAAAGTTATTTCGCTTTGTGTCAGCTTCAATTACTTATTTATAACTTCAATACCATATGACTTTGGGTAAAGGCAACCAGTCTCGCTTCATGGCCTTGCAGCACTGCATTTCTATCATAGGTTCATGCTGCATGACATAGTTTCTATGGGACACATAGGTGTGTGTATAGAGGGACTAGATCCAAGCATAGATCAACAGCCAAATCATGCAGTGTGACTCCAGTCTTTGGTGTAAGTCAGGCTCCAGGAGTTTGACTTAACCATCTGATGCAACGAACCGTCTTCAGGTGTCCTCCATGTCACTAAAGTTTCATTACCCCGAGACCTGGAAAAAAAATGCCATAATGACATGAACAAAAATACACAGATTTTCTTCCAGTTCACCCTCTTTGGTCAATGAACTGTCCACACATCACACCTGACCAGTTACGCTTTCCTTTCTGATATGACTTATTCACTGGACACAGAGAGATTAATCCAATAAATCAAACAACAAATAGAAAAAAAAACATTGAAGAGAACAGTTGTCTTATTATTGTGGGATAATACGCAAAATTGCCTTTGTGGGTTTTACATGTCACATATATATGGCTCACATCCAAACTAAACGAAAGGTTAAGAATTTCCAGCTCTTTGACAAGTAGAATTCTCTTTCACAGGGGCTCAAATATAACTGTACAATTGATTAAATGCCTTATTCACACATTGATGTGATGTTTTCCTTACTAAAACATAACTAAAAGGCCATGCTGGAGGTTAGTGCAAAACTAATATTGCAAAGTGGTCGAGGTCCAGAGGCAATTTAAACCTAACAATACACATTTTTAAAAGTATTAAGAGCTGGCTAGCTGCTATGCTACTGTAGCAACTCTGGTTGAATGAATTAGCTTCCTAAATATGAGCAATTACTTTGCGGTTCCTCGGTGTGCGCATCCCCAACAACCACGGTAATTTCTTGATTTTAAAGAACTGTAACTTCACTGCTTTCAACAGAAGCTGACAATGTAAAGCAGAGAGGGCAACTGAAACGTCGTCACACAACTCTAGCTAACCGAGGATGTGCAACTGCACCACTTGCTAGCCAACTTCGTCTGACGTAAAGATTGGCAAACTTTACCCCGTTTGCCGGTAAAACGGTAACATAGTCTGTAAAGCGCACTTTTCTGTGACTGTACAGCATTATGGTCATCTAACAGCAAAAACAACAACGGCTGTGGCATATAGCCCACTCCAACACAAAAAGCACCAGATAATTAAAGCTAACGCAAGCTAACCGACAGTTAGCAAGACGCTCAGATTGCAATGTACATTGCTAGCTGTTCAGTTAATAAGCTAACAAGTTCTCGGTGCAAGACGCTCACCAAGATCCATAGGAACGTTTCTCTGTTGCAGGGCTTTTTATCCTCTCTATGTCTTGATTAAGCAAACGATTCCTTTGAGTCTGACACTGCAGCGGTGAAATTCACTGACTCTTCATGTTACTCTTTGCCTCTCCGGTTGTCGCCATCTTGTTTACCTCCCCCCCGAACTCAAGTATATGAGCCCAACACGTTAATGCGTCAAATCAAAGTTTTACCCCCCACACCGGAGGAACGAGCAGACAGTCAGGAACTGTCCGTTCTTTCTGACAATGACTAATTTTGGCCTTTTAAATTTATTTAAATATTTATAGATATTTCACGTAAGATTGATAAATATTAAAGCGAAAGCTTGCTTTCAAACAATTAAATACACTTTTATCATTATTATTATAATAGTAAATAATATCTTCTTTATTCTTTCATAAAATAAAAATAGTCCACGGAAGTATCGAACCGGCTCTTTTTCAAGTGTATTTTTCAATGTGAAAAATAAACTATGAAATGTCAGCAGGAAAAACGTAAGTACTAAACAAAACCAAAAAAGGACCAGTCAAGAAATATGAAAAATAGAAGAAAAAACAGATGATTTGTCGAGAAAATTAGACTCCAAGAAGGTTCTATTATAAGTATTTCAGTCATTAACGGGCTCAACATAAAAAAAAGCTACATTTGACATTAAATGTTAAATGTGAGAAACTGTAATTTAACAGAAAATACATTTAAAGATTGAAAACCACAACAAACCAATCAACATGGTTACTTTAAATGTCTCTTGCATGTCACATATTTTTTCCTACAGTTAAACTTTGCTGTTATATCTGCTTCACCAATGACAGTTTATTCTACTGGAATGATATCTAAATGCTCTTACAAATGGCTTTCTATACCTTCTTACTCCAATAAGCAGCTGCTGTTAAAGGAAAGGTCACCAATCCATCACCAGGCCCTAATGATGTGTGTAATGTTTGTCCTTTACATCGATGTCACCGATAACTCATTTGAATTACTTTAAATCCCGACTTCTGTTGGCTCCGTCTGATGTTGTACTCAACAAGAGGGTCTTGCTTTGCTGGGTTCTCTTGAGTTATATTTGTCCCATGTCCACCTCTTTGGGGAAATGGCAAGCTGAAGGTCTGATTTCACAGTGGTTCAGAGCCATGCAGAAAGTAAGTGATATAACTGTCAACACGGTTACATGAGTACCTATACTTCGTTTAAAAGTGTGCATTTAAACTGGAGTTGGTTTATCTGAGTTTCCCCTTGTTTTCCAATAAACAGTTATTAAACAGGAACATCTGTTGCTGTTCAGCTCTTTGCAAAGACTGGTGAGACTGCATTTCAGTGAGTGGTCATTTTTATTGCAATATAGCGTTGAAAGGAGGTAACCATTATGAAACAGTGAAGACCTCAGTTATTGCAAAAAAACATACAGAAGAATGTATCTATACAGGACTGATAATTAAATGAATTAAAATGATAACAAAAACTAGAGTGAAATTTTGCAGAGGTCAGGTGATGACAGCCTTTCTGTATAAATATTTTTTTGTTTCAATCAAAATGCAAGTAACAATGATGTCAGTTGATATTTCAAGAAAGCAGTCATGTCCCCGAATAAAACATACAAGGTGTACAATTTTTTTTTGTTGCAAACTTTATCACCTTCTCTCACATTTGGACCTAAAACTGTAAAATTTCTACTGCCAGAGTGTCCATTTCACGACAACGCAGAGCAGTGGCAGCTGCAGAGACATGCTTCAAACGTATCATTAACAACAACGTGTATGAATGGTGATATTCCTCTATCAGTAATACGGTCTCCGTGGATTGTTCTGCAAAAATAAAACAGAAAATATTCAGGTTACAGGATACTTGACCATAATGTGTACAGTAACGCATTAAAGGTTTAAGAAATGTCTAAATTATGGATTTTTTAACCCATAACTATTCATAGAATCTGCATAAAAGGTTACAAAGTCCAGATTACTTTTGGCATATGAGAAAAAATAAAGCAAAGTACCAGTGGGTTCGGCCTGAAGCGGTAAGCGAGCATCATTCTCTTTCTAAAAGCATCATATTCGTCATCACTTTTAGAAAGCTCAGCTGGACGGTCAACTCCAAACCCTGCTCCATTCATGGCTGTAGTTCCCCTGGAGATGGAAGAAGAGTGGCTTTAAAATTTGCTTCCCTTTTTTTTTGTCTGGTATGTGTAAAGCTATCAGCATTTCGTTAATTGTCTTTTGGGAAAAATTCAAGCCCAAATGTCTCAATCTTGATAAAATATCAGTGCATTCTTATACTTTTCTTACAATGTTAATGTACATTTAGACACAAATGCTAACACAACAAGTTTTTTGTCAGTGAAGCAAAACCAGAGTGAAGGCTCACTTGTTAACAGGAGCTTTAATTCCCTGTCCGTCACTGCCAAGGCCTTCCCCTTCCTTCCAGCCCATTTTCATGAGCATTCGGAAACCAAGATTCTCCACCGTCAGCTTAAACTCTTTGTACTCCGAGTAGTCTGGGTCCCGACCTTCCTAATAAAAAAAAAATCCACAAAATCAAATGTACAGACTTATACATGAAAGTATTATGAGGCAGATATAGCTATTTGTCTTCTAATAGTATGCACTGCCTAAAATATGCCACATAAGAGGGGTGGTGTAGTGGTTAGCATAGCTGCCTTAGCATAGCTGCCTTCCAAGCAGTTGACCTGGGTTTGATTCCTGGCCAATACAGCTCCTCTCTACCCTGTAAGTCGCTTTGGATAAAAGCGTCTGCCAAATGCATGAACATGAACATGAACATAAACTAGGTTTTCCTTTACAGCTGCTTTACTGCAGCAAATTTAAATCTGGTATGATGACATAACTAAATGATCACCCTGTCTTGCACACCACACGACTTTTAATAATATAAACATGCAAACACAAGTCAAGGTTTCTTTCTGTAGATTTTGGAGAGAAGATTTTACTCCTGCTTAGACTCCCTTAATCTCAGACAATAGGCTGTGTGGCATCTTAATAGTTACATCCTGTTCTGAATTACTCCAAAATAACTTCTCATGCTCCTGGCAGTAACATTTCACCATTTAAATAATCCGAGCTGACATCCTATCTGCAGTTTTCTATTTGTAGCTGTAAATGGAGTGACAAGAGGGGTTTCCAAAGTAAGCCTAAAAATAGCCCTTTTTTTTAGATAAACAAAGGCCAATTATAGCCACTGTCAGGAGGAGCCTAAACAATCTGTAGAGAAAGATCACTATAACTAATGTGCACCTGACCTGGAGGGACAGTTTATGAATCCCGTTTACAGACACCATTCCTGTTTTACTGTACTCTGCTTTGAAATATTCATCTTTAAAATGAATTAAGAGAGGCGCAGTACTAACTTTGAGTGCCTTAAAAGTTTCCATGAACTTCTCCAATTCCTCCGGGGGCAGAAAGTCACCAATAAAGTGTTTCCCTTTCCCCATTTCTGTAAGAGATTCGGCCCATTCTGGAAATGCAGAAAAAGAAAGTCTTACAAAAGGGATCAAAGCATGTCACTTTAGAACAACTGATAATAAGTCCTCAATGTCCGCCTGCGATTGCTGAAGCTAACCTCGTGTCTTCTCCATTTCCATCTTTCTAAGCTGATGTTCCCAGGTGCCTGCATCCTGGTCCACATCTTCGTCACTGTCATATTCATGTTGGTGATCTCTGATGGCTTTCTCCCACATCGTCTGCATCTCTGCCATCGCACGCTTGTGCTTCATGATCATGTCATACATTTCTTGCATCTGTGAGAAATGAATGTAGAAAAAGAATGTAAACAGAAATTAATCTAGCTATATATATACATAGATTCTGTAATTTTCTATAAAAAGATATCTAAGTAAAATATTTTAGGCTGAAATGAAAGGAAACAGAAATGCAGTGGTGTTACTTTTATCACTTTGTACCTCTTGTTGTTCTTTTAGCTGTCTCTTCTGATCCTCAGATAGTTCGGTGACTCCAACCAGCCCAAGCGGCTTCCCCTTCTTATAGCCAAGGCCGCTCAGCTCCTGGGCTGAAACAGACGTCATCACAAGTGTGCAAATTAGTACACCTCTAAGTGCTTTTGCTCATAAAGTCTTTACGAGAGTAAGTTAAAGATGACAATGGTATCAGCCACAAAATAATCTTCTGAATGTCGGCACGAAGATGATGGTTTTGGGTTAAGAACCATTCATGCCTCACAGGAACCCACAGATGTTTCTGGGCGCAAACACACACTAGAGGAAATAACATGTACCAGAGAGGGAAGGTGTGTCGGAGTCTTGAGTGTTTATCTCCGCAGGAACAACAATCGGAGGAATTGGCAGTTGCACTTTGTCGTCTTCTGAGCCCCATCTACTCTTTCTCTTCCGTTTGATGGGTGGCGTTTCAGATTCCTGTTTGGGAGGCACAGATGTGCTGCTCAGCACTGAGGGGATTCCTGGCACTGGGGAAGCAGATGGCCGCCGAACATCGGCTGCTGCTGGAGGGGACGAGCTCCGACAGGGTCCATCACGATAGTCTTTTAGCTTCTCTTTGTAGAGATAGTAGGCTGGACTTTGCTTGTCATACAAAAAACTGAAATAGGGAAGGCAAAAGATTTAGTGTGAGATAAAAACAATAGCTCAGGCTTATGGAACACAGTCATAGATGGTGAATGACCTGAAGGCAGGGTTGTCTCGGTTGCGCTCAATAGCAATGGCTTCCACCTCAGGGCCACCTTCTGCCACAAAATGGGCCATATTTTCAACCATTTGCCGGGTTTCCGCATCCACTGGGGGGGAGACTTTAAGCAGCCTATTAGTACTGGGACTCAATTCACACTCTACTACTGTACCGTACTCAACTGGCCCTCACACACCACCAGTCTAGAGCCAATAAGGGATAAGAAGAGGAAAGGGGAGGAGGAGCAAGGGGAAAAGGGGGAGGTGAATGGAGACTGTATGGATGTGAGGCTTTTACTGCAACAAATGAAGTACTGTGATTGGTCAAAGCAAGGAAAGAGTAGTATGAATCAATCAACAGAGTCTATCAAAGTATTTTGCCAAGCGTCTGCAGCATTTAAAGCACAATGCAAAAACAGAGTTTTAACAAGAGAACTAGTGCTGACTTTATCCAACAATAAACTTAGCTGTAGAGTTAGTAATGACATGTTGCTAGGTCTTGGCTTAGATTTGTGCAAATAAATTCATCACTAGCTACAGTAAATTAACAGTCACAACAATAATATTAGCAACTTTTGTCATACTTAAATTATCTGGAAACTGTACACAAATCTAAAAATGTTCAGGAAAAAAGATGTGTGAGATGATGAGTGCAATGTTACCATTATCTGTCGTCTTGTAAGGTCTCTGGATATCCCTCCTAAGTACTGCGACACGTCTTTTGTAGTATAGATACTCCAGGCTACTCTTATCACTTAAAAAACTAAAAAGGAAAAAATAAAAGGTTAAAATCAGACTAGGTTAAAATCAATTCTAGATTAAAATACATTTGATTAAGCCACAATGTCCTTAAATCTTACGAGAAAACAGGATTATCCTTGTAGTCCTCTTTTGCTTTCTTCTCCAACTCAGGTCCTCCTTCTGCCACAAAAGAGGCCATCTTGTCGATAATGAGTCTGGTGTCTGAATCCTCTGGGGGAGAAACTTTAAGCAGGCTATGAGTACATTTACTCAAAGGGCACCAATGACAAAATGCCAGTCACAAGGCAACAGTGCCACTGGAGTATGCAGAAGCGCCAACAAAATGTCCGAGTCATGGAGTTCTCCCATGATACACTGAAAAATGCAGGCCAGGAATTACCTTTCATCTCTAAGAATTTGGAGTAATCAGTCTCCTCTTCCTCATCTTCATCATCTGGAGAACAAAATACACTTGGCCTCTGGCCGAGAACAGGAGCCTTCTTGAACTGTGAGTAACTCTTGAACTGACTAAGCATTTTACTAACTCCAAGGCCAGTCCGCTGGCCAACAAAAATGGCCTTTTTCTGCAAAGTGTTTCCTCCTGGAGATGAAGTTGAGGCTGAGGGAGACTTCGAATCAGCGCCTGAACCTAATGGGAATGAAAAAACAACGTATTACACCAGAAAACAGGGAAAATCAGTAGAACAATATGGCACATACTAACCAGATATATTGTTGTCTTTCTCCTTCTGCATCTTCATGAACTGCTGTAAGAAGCTTCCATCATTTGCAAATTTGTTGGAAGAGTCTCCCTGCAAACTGAGAGAAATGATTGGATCGGCAGTTCTTTCATTCATCAGTTTAGATCAATGTTGGCAAAATATGACATTCTGACTCTTATAAGGAGTTACATATATAAGTTATATATAAGGAGTTACTCCTTGGTGAGTAAGTACCTTGGCGGCAGGGGTTTCCTAGCGGTCTGTGCATTCAGCTTTGCTTGTACTGCCATTCTTTCTTCGATCTCCTTCTTCTTTTGAGCAATCAGTTGTTCTTGACGGAGAATGTTCAAGTTCATTTTGTTTTTCTGCGGCAGCGTTGGTTTCGTTGTGTTGGACCTCCAGCCTCCTCGCCCTTTGACAGTTTTTCAAAAGCACAACCAGGTTTTAACACAGTTTATTACTCTTAACGATGCATCATTCCCGGGAACCTTCCAGGAATAAGCAGCGTAGACAATGAAAGGATATATACATTAAATGACCTGTTACACTTATTTGTTTTTGGGATGGGTAAACTGTAACTGTCTCGGCATTTTATTCATTTCTGAGAAACGCTTTACACAAAAAGAACCACTTGTATCAGCCATTGGTCTGACTAACAGAGACCCCCAGAAAACGACTTAATAGATAATTCGGCTGCTGAAGTTAATGTTTTAAAAATGCCATTCGCTGAGGTTAAAGCACTTTATTTAAAACTATCTTACTGTAGGTTACCTACACTCTGGTAACGACAGTAAGCAAATGATTTAGTTGCTACATATGCTAGTATACGGTTACGCAGGCTCGCTGAGCCACTAAACGCAGTTTAGATATATTTAGCTTAGGTTTAAGAAACGTGTAAACATTTACCCGTATCGCTAGACTCCATGGTCGTAGCAATCAAAAATAAATTATATCAAAACAACGTACGAATCCAACAATAGGCCTTTAAATTGCTACTGCTGAAGCTAAATTACAAGGTACAAATCACTAACATTACTAAGCACAAGTTCTTCCGGATGGAAATATTCAAAATAAAAGCTCAACTATACAAATAAATACATCTAAGGCTAAAAGGCTTCCTGTCTTTCTTCCTTCCTTTCTTTCTTCCTTCCTTCCTTCCTTCCTTCCTTCCTTCCTTCCTTCCTTCCTT